TAAGACGGATGGTTTATCCTGATCTGGAAGATGTATGGAGAGCCTGTAATTATGGCCTGGATGTTTGCAGACCCATAGTTGTTTTATCTCAAGAGTGGAGCCCGTGTGCTACTACAGGCTCCTGATAGTCGCCGGTTAGTCTTGCTTTGTCGTCTCGAGAGCTCCCTACCAAGAAGTGGTCAGTGATACTGCCCAGCCTCGATGCCGAAGAGTGTTCCTATATGACGATTCTGTGATGATCCCTCTTCCGACGAGTAGGCGCTGCGAGGGTCTCGTAAGGCGTATGCGATCCGTGCGTTGTGTGATCCGAAAGTGAGCTGATCTCCATTGTTTGAACGTAACAAACGAGTTTCAAGCCGTGGGAGCCTTCACGCCTGCATGCCCTGAGGAAGTCTCTTGAAACTCATACTGGCGCCATTATTGGCGCCTACAGACCCTTTCGCGAAAGAAACGCCGGTAGCACGCGAACTCGCTCGTCTTCCCAGTCTATGGCCTTGAGTCAGTGGTGGGTGTCGCTCCCCAACCCCCTAGGTACATGTAAGTGACACAATGGGAGGGTTCCACCCAGTTACTAAGTTCGTAGTACTGTGTCGAAGCAACTAACTCCCTGAACTTGGTCACGGAACCATCACCCGCACTCTGGAATTCCCAATGGCGTCCCATAACCGTATGACGGACGGTAGGGCTGGACCTATAGGGGGGAAACTGACGGGGACGGGGAAAATGGTCTGATGTTCTGCGGCTGTCTGTGCCGATAGGCATTTTCGCCCTGTGTTCCCAGTGTCGTTCGTATGGTGGTGCAGCGACGGCCGTCCGTCTCTCTTGTGGACGAGGACGACGTTCAGCAGTGATTATGGCCGGAGCCAATGTGAGAAAGTTGTGGTATAACGACGTATGCCAGGTGCCGACGCTGCTGCTATCGTTCGTCCTGCGAGCGGTGAGGAGGGGCTCCACTATGGATTTGTATGATGCGTGCACCTCAGATATGCGAGTGTTGACGGTCGCAGCTAATCCGGTGAGGTATGGTGGGACGACCTGCTCAAGCAGGCCGAATCAGGTGTGTCACAACATCAAGTGCGTATGCGAGGTAATGCTCAAGTCGGCCCACAAGGTTTCTCAGGCGTGCAAAGTTGACTGCACCACGTGTTGATACTTCTGGTCTGCGTAGAAAGCAGTAACCTTGATAGTCTCTACGTGAAATCGTTCTAGAAGATTGTTTGTGTTGAGGGGTTAAGGCTTCTGTCGAATGGAGTGGCTGAGGTGGAAAGGCCTAGATAATGCGGAGGGACACATGTCTCGTGGATGCAAAGATACGACTAGCACGAGAGGAATACTATAATTCAGATGTTGATGGATGTAAGCTGCTACACTACGGTATCACCTTTTCAATGGCAAAAGATGGTCTGCCAAGTAGATCTGTCTGCAGACAAGCTTTGAGGAGGATTACATCATCGAGAGTCTGGTTCGGTATACCCCGGTCAATAGACAAGATTGATTAATGCTACAAGTCACACGCCATGATTCCTCCGCATGTCCTCATTGTGTAAGGCAGGTTTGTTTTTCATGCTGATATATATACCTGCAAAGCAAAACATCATTACTGACGTTCTAATAGTGGTGTCGATCAAACGGCGCATATGACCCACGGGTGAACATGCCAGGTAGCCAATGCAAAGGTAAAGAAGCATTCCGGACCCAAGAGAGGCTCGAGGACAGTGTCCAATGAGGGATGAATGGAAACGCCAAGGCTGAAAGGGTGCAATATTAATACATATGAGGAGTTCGCGGAAGGGGACCTTGGAAGCAGTGGAGTCGTCTAGTGCTTATAGCATATGGGCAACGAGCATGGATATTCCATGTCAGGGCGCCAGGGTGATGAAGATAGCGCGGCATCGGCATAACGTGCCATGCTGCAACAGGACAAGTGTAAAACCATCCTGCGCCCAAGGGTCGGCCACTCCATCAGAAAGTTTGAAGCCTCTCCCTTCCTGGAGCCCCGTCGTGGGAAGACCCACCATGCCGGCCTAGTATGTCATTGGTTTCCATCCGTCGGCGGAGACAGCCGTTATTCCTCTCAGGCGGTGGTCTTTGGGTCTCTGGGTACGGTTCGATCAGCAGTCAGCGGTACACGTCCTTGCCGTTACCCTGCTTCTCTCTGTGTCTCACAATCTTTGGTATCGCTTGCGCGTGATGCCAAATCTTCTTCTATGACGACGATGAGCGACGACTTCTCCATGTCAGACAGCGGCAGGTCTAAGAGAGCCAAGCCACCACGTACGGGGGCTTGCTTGCCAGCATACGACGGAACGCTGTGGATCGCGCTGCAACCGAACAAGCGGCTCGATTGTATAGTTCAAGACACTTCGTCAGTCTTCATCAGGGAGGGTCTCCGAAATGAGCAACCTTTACCGATATTCGTGGATTCGCTTGGCTAAAATCCTGAACATGGTCCTCCCTAGTTATGAGCGTGGATGTCTAGCGGACAGCCGATTGCAAGTTCTGTCCCCAACGCTTGCGCATGGATGTTGCTAGGTTCACAATCTAGACCCTACATAGGTAGTGATGATACAAACATCAATGCTCGGATACATCCTGGAGGGTGAGGAACGTCGCTTCCGCATTTGCATAGCAGCCGAAGCGATGGATCTTCACGGCAATCAGTGATAGACTGAAACCAGCCTTGCAATGGCTATCATTACACAAGCCATACCATAATTATATATATCTCGAAACATATCGTATGTGTCGTGTAGTCGTATCTGGCGTTCAAGTAGCCGTACTGGTGTTAGTCTCGAGTCCGGCAGTTGCCTTCCAGTGGTGATCTGCGTACCTGGAGCAACATTTGGCATAGGAAATATTGCCATTCATCTCGATGGATACTATCTTGTAGTTTTATTGAGTATCTGATCTAACGACTAAAGGTATTGATGCAGTATTGTTTCCATATGCTAGCATAAGAGTCGAAGCACAACTGCCTGGATTGACCTGGAGACATTTCAGGAGTGACTGCGCTAGATCTAGAGGCAAGCGTCTCGCGCAAGGAGCAAAGCTTTTACTCGGCGCTTTGTGCGAGTCAGATGTGATGTGCGAATATTGAAGTTTGAATCAGATAGATAATGTGACTGCCATGATGGATAGCCGTGTCCAACAGCTCACAGTTCATGTATGACCGTAATTAGCGATTGATCCGCGTAGATCCGCTTCGGGACGGATCATGCCATCGTCTAGCGAGTCCAAATAGCAGCGAGAAAAGTCCGTGCCTCTTCTTTATATAACCAACAAGACAAGGCTTGAAGGCTTGTGTAAGAGACCGAGACTCTACTTCCTAATCCGGCATGACAATCACCAGACAGGAATCTTGCAAGTGTACAGGGTGTTGACTTATGCGGGACTTGTCAGGCTATGGCCAACGGACTCAAGGTTTATACAGTGTTTTCACAAATGCAAGCGGAGGCTGAGATGTATGACCGGTGGCTGGGCTCGGGAGCGTATTGCTAGTTTGCTAGTGTGGGATGGCTTGAACCGTGAATAGAACCGCGTTCTGAAGCTGCACCAATGGGCGTACATGGGTTTGCGGTGTTGCGGCCTAAAAGTTTGATGGAGAGGATCTTGTTGTCTATGCAAGATAGAATGATCAATGATGGCCATGCGGCATGCACAAGTTTGATGGCGAAGGTACGGAGTACGGACATGCAGGCTCTGTATGATTAGCCAGTGGTAAGAGGTAGCGAGAGGATGCAGCTACTCACTGTGCCTCATCTATCCGTGTTTACTACACTGGGAGATCAGTTCGACGGTAGAGGAGCAGGGGGGGGTGAGACCTTGTTCCTCGGGATGCGGGAAGCAGAAATGACGCTCGCAGTGACAGTGCGGTTGAGTTGATATAGCAAAAAGTCTGAGCACAGTGAGCAGTAATTTGAGATGAACGATGAATGGAAGTGGGATGAGGCAGGACGATGTGGTGGATGTGGGTGTGGATGTTGTGGTAGAGGTGGTGGTGGTGATTTGTGGATAGTTGGGCTGGGTAGGCAGCCAAAATCTGCAGGTGAAGGAGAGCCTGGAGAGAGCGTGGGAGCCAGCGCTAAACGCCAAGGCCCGACATACCCAGCCCGCCGGGACAGCGACAGTCATTGGAAAGCCCGCGCGCTCAGCAAAGGCCCCAATTATCCCTTCAACTTACCCATCATTTCGAAACCTGCCCTGCCCTGCCCTGCCATTCCCTTCTTCCCTTCTCTCCCTCACACCCTCCCCTACCCCCCTCCCCCCCCCTCTCTCGACTCTCGCGCGTCTTATGTCCCCGTCGTCTGTCCTTCGTCCTCTTACCTCTGCCCAGTATTAGTGCCCATCGTCGACTGCGCACTGCATCTCCTCTTCTTTCGCCGCTGCTCTCTCCTCTCTTTCTTCTGTACATACTCACAAACTTCACCTTTCGACCTCGCCTTTGTTGGTAGGCAGCGTTCGTCTGCTCCACATCCATTGTGGTGCTCTGGGATCTCAGCTCATCTCCATTGCTCTCCGGCCACGCGCAATCATTTGGTACTGAACGACCATCACGCTGAGCCGACGCTTGAGAAGGACACCCCCAATTGTGCAACGTACCAGACGGTCGGCCGGCCCTATTCGAGAGCGTCTACTTCACTTCATATCAACTAGACTGTTGGATTGTCAAGCAGAGATTGTTGTCATATTGTTACTTCGCGTTTATTAGGTGAGTTGTCTCTGCTGTCGTCGTTCTTCGTCTTCCCACCCGAGCGGTTACGCTCGACCTCACTATATCATATAGCTTTATGTTTACGTTGCATTCGTGTATACTTGTCTACTGTTTTCCACCACAGACATTGCAGCTTACATATTGTTTTGTGTGCTCCTTCGCATATCTATCGCGACGACACGTTTTGCTGTTTGCTTGTACAATGCTGTTCTGCGTCTAATGCTTTCACTAGTTCCAATCAGCGGCCCAGAACACACATCCACACTCACCATTCCAGATCAGATCAACAATGGCCACCGAAATCCGTGTTCACAATGAGGAGGAGAGCCAGTCGAGCAGATTCACACGTGAAGGAAGGAAAATCACCTATCGCCTCAAGGTCATCCAAGAGCCTGAGCGTGCTCGAGCATGTGGCTCCGGAGCAAAATGTCTGTTACCAGTTGTATAAAATTCGAATATCTCCTAACACTCTATAGCTTCCGCGGACCGTCGCCCAGTCGATCCTCCGCCAATCGTCCAACTAGTCGTCTACGAAGGAGAGGGCGCAGATCAGCAAGAAATTACATTCCCATACAGTGCCAACTTCTTCTTGTTCGCTACGCTCGAGAATGCGCGGACCATCGCTCAAGGCCGTCTACCTGCTCCGGCTAGCTTTCCTGTCCTTACTGGCACACCTGTTGCTGGCATGGCTTATCTAGACCGTCCTGACCCAGCCGGATATTTCATCTTCCCAGACTTGTCTGTTCGCCACGAAGGCAGGTACAGGTTGAGCTTTGCCTTGTACGAGGAATTGAAAGACCAAAAGGATATGGATGTGGATCAATCACAGGCTATTCAAGTGCAAGCTGCTGGTATTGACGCACATGTTACACACCGCTTGGAAGTCAAGTCGAAGCCGTTTACTGTGTTCAGTGCCAAGAAGTTCCCAGGTCTTGCAGAGAGTACCGCCCTGAGTCGCGAAATCGCTGAGCAAGGTTGCCGCGTACGTATTCGTCGCGATGTGCGTATGAGGAGACGCGAGGAAAAGGGCGGCGACGGGAAAGATTACGACGAATTCGACGCTGATCGGAGCAGGCGCTCAATTACTGCTGAGGTGTCGAGACCTGGAACTGCTCATAGCCATGACTCCTATCACGCTATTCAGCGTCGCCCATCGATGCAGGAGATTGCTCAGGGCTGTCAACCTCCGTTCAGCCAGGCAATGGGTCCGCCGCCAGCGCAGCCAACCCAATATCAGGGGGTCCCGCAGTACAGCAATGCTCCTCCACAGCATTACGCACCCCAGTATGCATCACAGCACCAACCGCCTCAATCTATGATGCAACCTCCGTCAACATCCTACTCTCCTGTACCTCCTCAGACATATCAGCCCCAACCACCTCCGCCGCCGCCCCAGCCGCAGCAGCTAATAATGCCCCAGCAATACGGATACAACCAAAATCAATCTTATCCTCAACACGGATATGAGCAGCATCCTCACTCGCGCCGCGAAAGCATGGAGTATCCTACCCCTACTTCAGATTACAGCCGGCCCTCGTTCCACCAGCAGCCTCATACACCAACGTATCCCGCACAAAGTCCGATGATGCCGTCTTACAATCACAACGAATCAGTACATAGACAGCCACATCTAATGCCCCCGTTGCAGCCTGCAGTTCCGAGCACTTCCGCTCCAGGCCCTCATCTCAACGGGTATGCTTTGGCGCCACTCAAAACCGACAAGGTTGACATGTCCTCGCCTCCATATCAGATGAACGGTTCATTTTCATCTTCCCCTCACGATATGCAGTACGGACATGCAGGCAAATATACACCCCAGACGCCTCATGCGGGTGCCAAACGTACTTACTCCGATACCTTTGATACAAAGCATCTAAACCAGCCACTGAGACAGGGCGCGCGTCCGACTCTTGCGTCTGAGGATTACCGGGCTGCTTACGACGACAACAGTGATGATGCCGATGCTCCAGAGGCTCGTGCTATGAGTTATAGGCGCGCCGACGGCACATCCAGGAGCAGACGCGTGCCCCAGTTGATGGATTGAGATGATGCATCACATTTATCCTCCAGTTCTTGCTTACGACTTAACGCTATCAGGATTTCCTTAGGGCCATCCTGGCGGAAGTCCCACGACCTTACGCACTTTGGGCCGGTAGACATCCTACCCATATACCAAGTCTTCATGCGCATCTTGCTCTTCGGTCACCGGCGCTTGGTCACTAATTATGGTTGGACCAATTCTGAGTATTTTTCCAGCACCGATGCTGGTCTGCAAGTCGCGCACACCTCAGACCTATCCGCTCACACGACGAATCTTCCCTTGTTTCATTTGCACTGCATACTTCGTCTTTTGTTTATTGTACCTACGTCTGTGATTCAGCACATTCGAAGATGTGATGACCGGCCTACAACCTCATGGCGAGTACGCCTCGCTTATCTCTCTTTGGTTAATTACTTGCAATCCTATGCCTTCGGCTAGCGATGGTTATCCCGATGCCGTTTGCGCTCTCCTTTGTTCATGATTTTTGCTAGCTACATTGTTCTGTGTCGTTTGATAAAGGGTGGAGACGTGTAGAATTCGCCCTCTATGGATATCACCAATTTTGATGGATTAGCGGATGCATCCTGGGTTGACTGGATGTTATGCTTTGCTTTTGGGTAGATGAATGGCATACAACGCGACGAATTCGGGAGTATGTAGAGACCGTGTCCTAAGAAAAATCCGACAAATTCATCCTTAAGGTTCATCCTGCGACCTCGATGCGACCATTACTTACTTGCTTCTATATTTGACAATGCACGGAAATGGTAAAACGCTTTCTTGGATCTCAGCCCTACGAGAAGCCGAGAAATAATGTCAAGGTCTGGCTAATAGTATTTGGAATTAGCTTGGTTTTTCTGCCTGCGTGGTGCCTGTGGTGGGTGCCGCGCCGCGCACCGAACCCAAGAAACGTGTCAAAGAGTCCTCGAGTAATTATGTCCTATCAAATCTCGTAGACTTTACCATAGTAATTAGACTTTAGACCAACCAAGCCTGCACCACCTCTTCTTCCGTTGATCCTTCCCGGCTGACGGGCCTAGACGGTTTTGAGTGCTTAATTAACTCCTGGACTACATACAGTAGGCGCTAGATATGTGTGTACGCCGAGCGAGAGAGAATGCTGGGGCTGGATACTGTATACACATATGCGGCGAACCAGCGATCGCACACGTATTAATTATGGCAATTATATTTCCCTTTTTCTTGTCTCCATGCTTTATTCTAAGTCAAGCAAGCACAAAACCCCCCTCCCCGGCCCGGCAGATGATGGTTTTCCTTGGTCGGATACCGCACCGGAACTCCGGACGCTTTCTCGGGCATATACTGCTCCTTCCCCTCCCGCTCCATTTATTGATTGGTAGGACTTGCCTCCGAGAGATTGTTTGGTAGGAGAGAATCTAATGTTTTTCCTGATTTTCCTGATTTTCCGTAAAGGAATTCCGTAGCGCTGTTTGGTTTACGACTCGGATAGAGAGACGGACTGGAAACGACGATACGAGGATGTGATGTCAAGAAATTATTGGTTTTTTATGTGGATTGGACCGGATAATATGGGGGTTTAAGTGGTACTGGCTGCTAAGATGATGGCATGGTGTGAAATGTTGCTTTTTTGTGCTTTTTTGTGCCTTGTGGGGGAGCTGCTGCGTGGAATGCAGTCAGCTAATTAGTTATTGTGAGTGAGTGAGGGAGTGAGAGTCTGGGAAACACGCTGACGGTTGAGCATCCATGCACAACAAGTCAACTTGGAAACCCGCTTCGTCGCATGCTATGCCATGCCTTACCATGCCTTACCATGGCCATGCTATGGCCATGTCTGAGAGAAAGAAGAAAAAAAAAAGGTGGACCGCGTGCTAAGAATATGTATGTCGTGGCATGGGAGTCCGTCGTTGAAAGTAACCGCTAGCTAGGGACCACAATTCGAGAGGAACCCACATAGCGAGAAAGAAACCAGTACCAACGCTATAATTAACCCATCATTTACCTACGTCTCTCGAGTTCTAAGTCATTAGAAGCACATCTTACCTTTCGAACGTGTCATGCTTATGCTTATTGCTTATGCTTATGCTTATGCTTCTTCTCCGCACTGTATATACATGATCGTATCTCGTACTACCATCACGCCGGAGTCCGGAGAAAAGCCTCGTCGAGACCGACCACTCACTTACCTCTATAATATACCTCTGACGACGATCTCCCAAGCCGCTCTCGCCGCTGCAAAAAAAATCCCCCCTGGGTGGGTTGGGAAAAAGCCCTTGAGCCGCGCCGCTGGACTTCCTTTCCTTCCTGCAACTCCTTTGCATGTCTCATTCGCAGGGTTTGTATGGGTGCGTGCGTGTATGTGTATGTGTGTGCCTTCATCCAGCAGGAGCAGGTACTTTTAGCTGATTTACCCATTCGCTCCTCCCAGCCTGCGGCCTATCCCGCTTCCGCAGGGGGAGGGCGTTAGGGGGGGCCCCCCTGGAGGGGAAGACATGGAGACGAATCAGATAGTCGACCATTCAACGATAAGTTTATCCCAGCAGCACATCCTTGACAAGCACACGGACTACCATGGGTTCATTATATACTGCTATCCACCTGGGACATTTTGGCTCTCTCTCTCTCTGCCTCTGGCTCTGGGTACTGGACGCTACCCACGGACCAGCCGGTGGGCTCCCCTTTTCCACCTTGGAGCCTTGGAGGATGGCTGGGATGTTGAATCATTACCTGTCAGACCAGTCAGTTCCTTCCCGCTGTTCTGCCTGGACTGGGAAATCTCAGGCCGATCGTACGGGCGTAACGTCCGTTCGCCCTAGCATACATGTTATCAGTCATTTATCCAGGCCTATGTAGGAGGGGAGACATCGTCGTCGTCGTCGTCGTCGTCGTCGTCGTCGTTTTCGGTCGCAGTCAACGCACTCAACGAAGTCATGAAGAATCCTCTTTTCGAAAAGCGGACAAGCCCGCACGAGACCCGGAGCAAAGCAAGGGAAATAGCGTGCACTTGGGCAGGCAGACAGACACATGCGCCCCATGTGGGATGGAGGCACATACACGCGCATACATGCATGCATGCATAATGAAGTGCTGGCAGCAGAAAGCGCAGCCAGCAGCCAGCAGCAACCCACTCCACTCCACCGGCCCACGCTCCAGAGCGAGAGAGAGAGAGAGCAGACAGGCCCACTGGGTCCCCTGCCCAAAGACCCAGCAACCCAGCCAGCGGCGTTGCGCTGCCTTGCGCTGCCTCGCGGTGCGGTAGCCCCGAAGGAACCCTAATTTTATCGTCCTTTCCGCAGGCTCACTCACACACAGGACAGGACAGGACAGGACAGGCTCCCCAATCCCATCCCATCCCATCTCATCGCATCCCAGCGTGAAGGGCCCGGGTGGTCCCCCCTCCCCTCCCTCCCTCCCTCACCTAATCCTCTTCCCCCTGGCCGGGGCTGCGGGTCGGCGCACCCGTACTTGTGACAGACGACTGGGTGACTTCCATCGCGCAGGCTATTGGGTGTTTTGGCGCGAGGTTTAGCCGGGTTGGGCATGGGGTGTGGGTAACGTAGGTACCTCTGTACTCTGTCTGTATTACCTGTGGGACGACAGTTTCTACACGTGGCCCGGGCCGGCCAAGTACGGATGGATAGTTGCAACGTTTTTTTTTGGGAGACGATGGTTGCCAGGAAGAGGAGACGAAGCGTTTATAGTTTGTATTTCTGGAGAGTCAAGCACATTCGGCCATACCAACCAGAAACCAAGCGGTCCCGTTCGCTCCCGCCTATTTAAGATGGTTAGGGGTGGATTAGTAGTTAGGTGGGTGACCACTAGCGAATACCCACTGCTGAATGTTTTGTGTTTTTGGGCATGTTATGAGGGTTTATATGTATATGTTCGTGGTGTCCTCTTATAGCGTCTTCACTGCTTTTACTTATTTAGGCAAACCAGCTTTCGAGGATACTATTATTAGGTTACTACTGTTCACAAACTCAACATGATCATAACACTCTAATACCTACCCGTCACATCAGTCTTGTACCTTTCCTACCTAGCTAGCTAGGTGTGAGATCCGTCCAATATTGTGATACTGTGTCCCTTCAGAACTAGTGTCATTGCCTACCTGCAGACTGCTAACCATTCCACCTCTAACAGCAATCATCTCGAAATGCATCACATCACATCCACAACCACATTCACCTCTCGGCCGGTTCTTTTCCCGTCGTTTAAGAAACTTGGAGGGCTAGGGCAATAATAAGTGATATATCCACTAGATTATATATAAAGGTGCCTAATAAAATTGGTCCATACGATTTTGGTGTGTCTTGGTTATGCGAGCGGTAAAAAAAACCGGCCGACAGATTCACATCTACAAACCCATCCTCGACATTAGAAATAACCAACCGTCTTCAAATCTTCTAACCACCTTTGCCCAAAACAATCATCCCACTTCTCTCTCCCTTTCTTTCTCTCTCCAACTCCCACTCCCAAACACCAGCAACCCATCTCCCCGGACTAGCTGTCTCCTAGCCTGGAAAAAAACCCCGTCCTCACAAAGTAGCGTAGCACGGACCACAACATGCCATGCACGCGTGGGACAAGGAGACAGGGTGGCTAGGTATAATAGTGGAGAATGGCGACATTGGAATTTTTGGACAAGTGGGTCGGACAGCGAGATCGACATAAGCGCATACAAGAAGGGGAGGAGAGAGCAAAGGAGGACGACTAGACGGAGGTCTGTGCGTAGTTTGGGGGATGTGTCTTTTCTTTGATATGACATGACTTTGTACTGGGAACTTTTTTTTCAAAAGAACTTTTAATAGAACTTGGGACGCTCTTTTTGGGGGGGGGAGGGGGAGGGGAGGGGTGAATATCATGGTATCGTATGAGAATAATGGTTTTGGGTCTTGCGCAGGTGGAATGACTTGCTGTATGTGCGTTTGGCTCGAGGCGGAATTGGATATTGGGGTTTTCAAATGCTGTGGGCGGTGGGTTTGTCTATCTCGACACCTTCCGGATACATGTTCTGGTAGGTAAGTCAGTCAGTGCGTTGGGGTTGAAAAGTGACGGTGCACCGCAGTCGATCTATTAACAGGAATCAGCTTCCATTATACATGCTTGAGCGCACAACGTCCCCCGTGTATCAAAGGACTTGATTCACAATGTTCGGGAATCTCCCCTGAATGTTTGGTTTGGAGCGTCTTGAGTAGTTTTCGCGCGGACGAGCGAGCCTGCGACCATAGCATGAGTCTCGCTACCTCCACACCTGGATGACCGCATGGAATAGAGATAAATATTCATCGACTCTGCAAGAGACTACCACTCAGCTCGAGCTTGTGGTGGTCGAGAGATTTGACTTGAATGTGGATGGAGGTAGCTATCTGTCCACAGGAAGAAGATATCTGCTTGCTGCCTAGAGCTGAGACGGGAGAATAGCTCGAATAGAGGAAACTGGATATGTCCTAACGATGAAGGTACAGTATGCCGTAATCATTTGCCTAATATATATCAGATGGAATTGATCAAAACTAGTATTACGATTCTCACCAAGCCCAACAGTCAGAAACCACTGTCCTCTAGCACAGAACTATCTCCAGTCAATGAACTGATGTAGTCACAAGGCGTATCCAAAGGAAACATGCTCCAGCATCTCTTGCATAAGCTTTGGTAAGGAGAAGTCAAAGAGAGACTTGGAAGCAATCCATGGTAACCAATTAGCCTCGTCCTGTTCGTGTGCCTTTTTCACTTTGTCAGTCTCCAGCCCTTCTCCAATAGTCACTGTCGTTATCGATATCATATTCACCAGCGCTACTGGAAATATTGCTAGGGCTATAATCATCATAATCGTAGTCATTTATGTCATGATCATTTCCAAAGTACCATGCATCATCATCATCATCATGAGTCTCGATAAGCCACCCGCGGGACTGCATATGACTTCGAACCACTGTCGGTCCAACTTCGTATAGTCGAATCTTTATAGTCTCCAAAGACGGTATGGCCCTGAGACGGTAATCGACTAACTCGATGGCCTTCGAAATGATCATCGGGCTCTCAGCACTATCAATAAGTTGCTCCATGGTATTTGCGCTATACAATTCCATTGTTATAGTATGCAGTCCGAGACAGCAATGGCCGATCTTCGACAAGAGCTCTTGTATATCCTCAGGAAAGGCGTCATCACCATGGAAGGGCTCGCTGAGCAACGGAGATTTGATCAGGAGGTGGCGCATGTAGCTGGCGTTCCGAGGGCCACATTTATCAATGAAAGATATCGCTGTATGTACCGCGCACTTAGAGAAGTCGAAGATGGTTTCTGCATACAAAAGCGAGCTGGCTTCGCTATATACCGCTTTGTTTGTGAGTAGCAGATTGGTAATCGTTGGACAAGACTGTAAGCCACACAAGCCAAGCACTAGGACCGGCATACTCATCGGCAGCTCTAGTGCCAATCTATAAATCTCGTTGCGAATCTCGGCAGGGAGGTCGAGGAAGGTTATCGCCGTCATCTCGTATGTGCCATCTGCAGGCATTGAGCCGATGTGTGATTCCATTCGAAGTAGCAATGATCTTCTGACAGTGAGTCTCGAACTGTGTATTATACAGGACGAGCAGAGGCGGAGTAAGGGGCAATGTGGATAGTAAAGTATGTGTTTTGAGATGATGAGACTAAGACTTTATATACACAGACTTACCGGGGTACCTGCTGCAAACACTTCGTGGTTCTGCTTGTAAATCTGCACGGTGACGTTGGGCGTACACGTGGTGATAGTAACTCACAGTATCCAACAAAAAGTCCCTGGCTGATCCATGGAAGTTTGCAGCGATGTTTCGCCTGGAAGTAAATCTGCTCTGTTAGGTCACTTCATGTCTGTTTTGAATTCGTCATTCACCCAATCGTCTCGACATCATCCCGAAGGATACATCTCGTGTGACTGAACGCTCACAAATGGTTCAGTACGCATAATATCGTGTCAGTATCTCCGACACAATCAAACTTATAACCTGTCCGCAAACCCAAGCTGAGGATGTAAGTCTGCCGTCAGTCCAAAGATCACGAAGAGCAAGCAGCGGTATGGAGTATGAAAGAAGCAACAACTGAGCAAATGAACAGCGTAACAAGGCTCTCAATTAGTATCCTTGAGCTTATCATAGATTGTATTCCCTGTATTTCACGGAAGAATCGGAACTCATGTGGTGACTCTTACGTCAGGATTCACCGGTACCAAATCATTACAATCAAATTGATCGATATGCAGACTCTTAATATCCTTGTGTGCGGTTGCTCAACAGCTCTGTCCGTCAATTCGCCAGCCTCGTGTGCTGACTGCAGATTCTCCACGGGACGCAGCTCTTTTAGCGCCATGATACCTTGAGACCACGAGCTCGGCAACGCGATGAGTGCATCTGTCTACAATTCTCCTAGACCTTGTGTTTTTGAGGCTCGCGCGACAGTGAATTGTTCAAAGTGGGCGTTCATGGAGCGATCTGTTGCTCGTGGGAGATTCTGATTTCTTTTCTGAGAGGACTGGGAAGGGCTGAGGCGACTGTGAGTATGCGTCAATGATGCGTCGTCTGATATCCTTGACGTGTAACGGAATATCCAGATGGGTATATCGCTGCAGCTGGAATACAGACTCGGAAGATATCAGGGCCAAGCATCTGCGCAAGAGTTGTACAGTATTTGATGAAACAGGTTTACTTCTTCGCAATCAATACTGCAGAACGAATTGCAGCCTCCGATGAGACCGAGGGAGAGGATGATTATCGTTGTAGCATGCGCCACTTGTTCATTCTACATGCTTTGTTCGTTATGTACATCACGTCATAACTGCCTCTTCCGCATCCATCAGGACCGTCCCTCCTCCAGTTCCAAATCCTGCAATCCCCACAGTCGTCCCCGACAGATCCGGAATGACCAGCACAGTCTCGCCCTGACTGGTAAAGTCTGTCTCGCAACTGACCTCGTCCTCATCATCTTTTCTCCCACCGTCGGCTTGTCCTGGTGCATTGGGCCTCGGTTTGACACGCACTTCGACATTTGGAAGTAGCCAATTGCCTGTCCGCAGGGGCACAAGAATGATCTGGAATGTCTTTTCTTCGCCCTCTTTCGCGCTGAACTGAGCACGGCGAGATCCGCCTATGATCCACACGTCCGGATTAGCACCAATTTCATACATGAAATCGATTGGATCATCTGCGGAAGAGAGTTTGGCAGCGCGAAGAAACGATTGCGGCGAGTCCCAGGCGCGCGTGTATTTGATTTTGAGTGTCGCGGTGAGAGGTTGGCTAATGTATGCGAGTGGTGGTGATGCAGTTGATGGACGGGAGAGTGAGGAGGAAAGGTTAAGCGAGGAGGTAGCAAGGACATGGAGACGGGGAACTGGTACGGTTATTATGATATTGCGAGATGTGTCTTCTGGTGCAGGATGCTGAGCAAGATCAATCGTGGTATGCTGGGCGTGCCATTCTTGCAGCCAGCTGTGCACAGGCTCGTGTAGTGCTGACGGAAGATGATCGGTGAGGTCGGTCCATGTCATCTGGTCAAAAGACCCGAGCGTCACTTTGGAAAGGAGAGCAATTTGCTCGTATTGCGGTGCGAGAATTCGAGGTTGGACACGGGTCGTGAACTCAGGTACTAGAAGGCGTGAAAGTTTTGCGAACGGACTTTTCCTGAGGTCTTGCGCAAAGATTGCTTCAATCCTTGTGCTGATATCTTCGTCTGTGCATCGATATCTGACCATGAGCGATAATGGCGCTTCTTTACCCTCCGTCCTCAAACGCTGTGTGCTGGTGATCTTGTACGTCAGGCACACTGGCTGCTTGGGGAATACTAGCATAGGCATGGAAAGTCCAGATGGAGAGCTCACTTTGAAGGCATCTGTACCATCTAGTTGCGCGTGAAGGACCTCGAGCGGGCTTTGGTTCGCAGTCTTGATGTTAAACTTTGAGAAGAGGACTTTAGCCTTGAAATGGTCGTGGACATTGACATCGAGAGGCAGTTCGATGGGGACGGTCGATGTGGAATTCCAGACGAAGTCCCCATTACAAGTACTATAAGTGGCTTCCATACGGATAACAAGCTCAGGTAGACCCATCTCTAGATCATAGGGAATCCTAATCTCCAACGTCGTGCCCGGAGCCATGTTTTTGACCCTGAAAGCTCCGGGTCCAGAAGAACTCTCGAATGCGGCCGAACCTGACAAGATCTCACCATCCGCAGTTCGAAGTCTAAGACCAGCTGATGCTGAGCGTAGTCGAAAGTCACAAGACTGGATGTCGTTGCGCCCACTTGAAATATGAACGATGATAGAGCGTGGCTTATCGATATGTATTTCGCGTGTCAACGAAATTCTCGCATAGAATGACTCCGATGTTGGGTAACATAGAATACGAGACTTTTTGGCGACCCGAAGAGATGCTCCAGAGACAGATGTCGAAATGCCGAGGGGGGTTGTAATCTCGGCCTTCTGTAATGGTTCATGGACGAACCTCAATTTTTTGGCGACAAGCTGGATTTTATCTACCACATATGTACCGAACGTGGTGACGTTCGAATGAACCCATACCTTATGACTACCTCTAGTCATTGTCAATCCCTTATCACTTTCGAGCCATATCTCGCTTGCTTGATTCGATGTAGCGTTGACCAGCCTGACCATGAACTTTTCGATAGTGATTGTATCTTCCAACACATGACGAAAGCTGAGACGGAGCTGAAAGCCATCTTTATCATCGTACGATTTAACGTAAGGATCGATGAGGATCCTATCAAAGTATCTTGACATCGGGACGATCACCTCGTTGGGTATTTGGCTGGCGACATCGAGCAGTTCAGTCAGGAAGCCAGTCGTATCAACAGCATCGTCATTCAACCAGACTGACGAAAGCATACCGACCCCACTGCTGGTAGACTCGATGCGCATTTGAGGCAGATTTACCGACCGCCACCGCGCAGCCGACTTAGCCAGTATATCCAACAGTGTCAAAACATAGTCGCCCCTCCTGTGAAGCTCTTTTAAACACTTGCCATACATCTTTAGCATCGTCATTTCAACAAAGTTCCATCGTCCCTCCGCAAATAAGGGCGCCATCTTGCTGAAATACATTGCTGCAGCGGTATAGTCGCCGAGTTGAAACTTCAGGGCCGCTAGGTCCCCGAAGATACTTTCTGCCGCTTTGGTTCTGTTGGCGGCCATGTAATGACGAAAGGCGAGGTCACATAGGCCTTCGTATAAATTTCGAAAGCTGTGGATCGACTCCATAGCGAGTTCAAGGTCGTCGGCCAGGAGTCCCTTGGTGGTGAATGTTTCTTTCTTCTCCCTTTTGGGACTTGCTGTTTCTGAGGACGATTCATCTGAGTCGTCAAGCGCTACATCACTTAGGTCCTCATTCTTCACAGATTGAGTGGAAGTCAAAGCGTTCCAGCCAATAGACCATCCCGCAGCATTCCCGACATGCTCTATCAACCGTCTTTGGACAAGATATAGCTCGGCTCTATGAGCAGCTAGATCTTCAAGAGCAACACTATTGCGCTGCATAGATATATCTTGCTGCGATTTCACAGTTTGACTACTCGGAAATGTTCCGTGATCGAAGACCACCTGTCCTGAAGGGGGAACCGCCGCATATGGCGGCTCGCTTAGAGAGTTCCGGCGGTTTTGTAATGACGTCGAACGAGCAGGATGGATTATAGTTTTGGGCTCTGGGATTGACGCTTTTGGCTCATCTGATTTTCCTCTGAAAGGCATCAGTTTGGATGCAGAGTCATTGGCTGAACCCTTTCTTAGTAAAGAGACCGGCAGGGCTGATGTTTTCGTCTCATCTAAAGTCTGCTGTGCTACTGAGTAAGACCAAGAAGAAACTACATTGTCAATGGTGTCCTCAACGAGTGATAGCTCTTTTTTGGAAGCTCTGAAACTTGTCAGTGTTGCGAAAGGACTCTAAGTATGTTGACACGACTTACCCGATCTGTAGGTCCAGTCGCATATCTCTGGCTACAGAGGTCACGAACCGCAACGACCTATCGCAGAGCTCCGTCAGTGGTATCAAGTCTTCAGTAGCCTCTACCACAGTGTTACGAGCTAGGCTCATATCGTCTCGGGATCTCTGATGACTCAAAACCCTACTAGGTTGCAGCTTCGACATGAGTTCCGAGCGTGAGGACTGTGCATTGCCAAGACGAAGTAACAGTGCCATCTGCCGAGAGAAAACATAGCATCTGAAGTCAAATATTGAGACGTTGGTAGACAGAATCAATTCGCGATACGACTTCCTTCCCGCATCGATAGGCTTTGGTCCAAAAATTGCGTCAGGACGCTTGCCTGCATGCACCAACTCCAGAGCATCGGCCAGCTCTGTGGTGTACTCTAGAAATGATCCTCCTCGACCATTCGACTCATCAGCCTGCTCTCGAATAACAGCGTCGAGACCAACCGAGAGCTCATCATACATGACAAGAGCGTCTTCAACAAGGCCAACATTTTCAAACCCCCGAGCCAAACCTTCTTTCAAAACGAAAAATGTGCAGAAATTCCAGCCCGGCAAAGCTCTCTGTGAGTCTTTTTCACGGATATCGTCTTCATACTGACTGACCCTTTGATCAAAAGACAGCAGGATTAAGCTTTTGAGTTTAGCAATGGAATCGCTCCAAGCATGTTCTTGCTCCTGCGTAGTTTCGACATGAGGAACGATTGGAGGTCCATTAGTGGCAGGAATGTCTTCGTGTGATAATTGATCTTTCTGCAGTCTGATTTGAGCCACGCGGTCTGGAGCATTCTTCGATGTAGCATTGAAGTCAGCCCGTATCTTCTCAAAGATTGTGCTGGAGCTTCGTCCAGGCCATCTGGAAGAACCACCAGACTTATCGCCGGAACCTGAAGAACTATCCTTAGAGGTTCCACTCCAACGGGGCTGACTAGATGCTGCCGTGTTCGGTAGAACTACATGCAATATCATCCATTCAAATGCGTCATGTTTCTCAGAGCTGCTTGTCGACGCCTGCGTGCCGTGCTCCTTGATCCAGTCACGGAGCAGCTTCCTGTTCGAAGCTTTGTAGGCTTCGCTGTCATCGCATCTAAGAAGGTAAAGCTTCAAGTAAGGAGTCCGTCGCAGTCCAGGGATCTGATGTCGACGCTCCTTAGACGGCACTTTAACAGCTTCCTTAGAGGCGTCTTCCTTTCTCAGCCCAGCCTGGCTCGAGGTTTCTGAGGCATCCTCGGCAGCGGCAGACTCCCTAGCAGTAGCTTCTGACGGAACAAGATCAACATGGAGAGAGTCGATTGAACGCAGCGGCCTCGTTGGAGCCTTCCAATGCAGATTACGCAGAGGCAGCCTCGAAGCAAGAAGCGGTTCTACTAATGGAAAGATTCCAGACGGATCGTAGTACTCAACTAGAAGGTGTAAAGATTAGTAAGGATGTGCTTGATCTCACGGATCATAGCTTTATACCAACCCGTGACCTTGGAACTGGCTGAACGGTCCATCACGAATCGTAAGGCGGTGAAGGCTGCACCGGCATGATCTCCCAGCTTATATCTGGAAGATTTACACAAACTTCAGTGCCGTGTCAGCCTTGCGGAAAAGGGGTGATTAAAACTGAGCACGAACGCGAAGTGATCGATATGGATCAACAATGATGGAGATGGAGCACGACACATGTCCCCTTGCGCAAATTGGTGCGTCGTGAACACCCAAAACGGTGTAGTGGCGGAAGTCAGTGCGTGGGTCACGTGCGTAGCTGTAAATACCTCGCGCAATAAAACCCTCGCATTCCTCTCAACCACGACGATCAAGATCCCCCTGAATCTATGTCTGGGAGTCTCGTGTTCGCCTCGTGGGGTCCAGTTCTTCGAAGTCTTGTTCGTGAAAACTTCTAGGTTGAATCTTGGCGCTGCTGCGGAGGCTTTCGCATCTGGGTGAGGCAGACACGCTAACAGCCTGAAATCGCATTCCTCGCATTCGTCGGTAGGGCTGAGGACATGGCCTACGGAATGCGATCAAAGTCATAGCTTCCAGGCAGGACCATCGTAACGCTTCCTAGATCTATTTTCATGCTTGTAGTCCCGTGTCCATTTGTTATAAATGACTCAAATGTGGCCCTTCATCCTCGCCATGTCAACTCCTGTGCATTTCATCTCCACGTTACAGGTGCTATCAAATCTGGCACTTATTATCTTATCTTCGAATATCGCTGCAATATAGTACTACTTGCACAAATAGTCATATACTAAAACCAACATGGGACAATACGGCAAGTCATACATCTCGTATCTGCAGCACGTTACTGACCCAAACAGCGGAGGGAAGTGTATGGTTTTATGCTCCCAACAATGTAGCGCCCATCGTGTTCATGATCCTGTTCCTATTTTCAGGATGTCTGCATACGTGGCAGACCATGTGAGTATGCGGAGAGCACGAAGAGAATGCTTCTAATGGAACATAGCAAGTACAAGTCATGGCGAACCACCGGTTTGCTGCCGTGGGCTGCGGTCCTCATGATAACTGGCTTCTTGACCCGCGAGCTTGGAGCATACGACTATGAAAAACTCGAATACGTGATAGCAAGCACAGTCTTGATCCTTTCAGGGCCGTTCGTATTTTTTGAGATCTATATTTAGCATCCCAGCTAACTGATGCAGTCCTGTTTACGCCTTGATCAACTACTTCATTCTCTCCCGGATACTCTACTACATGCCGTACTTGTCGCCCATGCATCCAGGCCGTGTAGTCACGACCTTTGCGGGACTGGACGTCATTGTCGAGATCATGCTGGCTCAAGGAGCATGGCGATCAGTTCATAGCGGCATAAGCGAGAGCGAAAGGCAGGCAGGAGAAGATCTTGTCCGAGCCTCCTTGCTGCTACAAGTGGTGCTCTTCCTCGTGTTCATGTGCCTAGTCGCATACGTTCACTTCAAAGCAGCACGGGCCTCTCTGCTCAGCGGGCGCATTCGCACGGTCATATACGTTCTCTACGTCAGTTCTGCTATCGTCACTATACGATGCATCTACCGCATTGTCGAATACTTTCAGGGATGGGAAGGGACTCTCTTTCAAAACGAGCCATACTTCTGGGTGTTTGAAGCCTCAATCATGTTCATCAACACCGTCTTGTTGAATGTATGGTTCCCTGGCAAGAGGCTTCCACGATCGAACTCGTGCTTCCTAGCACGTGACGGTGTCACTCAAATGCGTGGCCCTGGCTGGTCAGATGATCGACCATGGCTAATAAACATGTTCGACCCTCTCGATATATACGGTCTCGTCACCGGACGGAAACATCTGGCGTTCTGGCACATGACGCAGGAAGAGCTCGACGTTCTGCGCGCGCAGAAGAAGGCGAATAAACGACCGTGGTATGCTCTCGTATTCGATCCCCTGCATCTATGGGGCCCTAGAGGCTACATCGGAAAGCGTTTTTCGAAGGGACAAGCGTATAGGGGGACTTCAGACCGAGAGGCGCCGACGTCAAGCATTCCTCGCACTTTGAAGGAGTTCGAGCGTACGGACGTCTAGACAAAATAGTCGTCTTAAGGTTCGCTCAAGAGCCTCAGTGTACTATCAGGCATCTTTATGTGACGGTTATCTTCTCTCGACCAGTCATATTTGGCCGATACCACAGTTTCCAAGGCCATTAAACACCTAATCTCTTTCAGCGCAGAACACTGTTAATTCCTCATCTACATACTGTCCCTTCAATATCTTTCGCGCAATTCAACTATCCTCCGTTGTTCCTCTCCTGTCATATAGACCAAGTCCTTTCAATATCCCCGCTATCTCGCGGAAAACCCCTCGCATTCGCTCCTAATGATACATCCCATTCCAAAGGCCATGTCTCCCCATTCCCAAACAGCTCATCCCTTACCTACAACCACACTCCACTTCCACGCACGGTCTCACAGAGCGTGGAGGTGAGGTGTCACAGGAAAGATCACTCTTATTTCCAGTACCCGCACCTTCTGAATCGGTACATACCTACGTACCCACAGCGCCACATCTTGACACTACCTGCACAATCACGCCAGCTGCAATATTGGAATATGTGTCCAAGGGCAGACTGAATGACACTGCGGTCCACATGCCGCATGAAGTTCTCGACACGACCGTAACAGAATATATATAACACGCTTGCTAATTAATCTAGTGTTCCCGTCGTGTGTTCTGCTGGTGTACATGCAGCAGCATTTACAACCGATTAATAGCTTTCTGATGCGTTTTGGCGACAGAGTTTTCAAACAATGAATTGATCAGTCATGAACAGTCGTGGTGGTAATGATGATGAAAACTTAGATTCTTCCTAGTCCTCAATTCTCAGGAGGGTGTAATGATCTCTATATCCATCCTATATCCCAACGCTAGTTCGCCAGACATGCATGCTAAAACTCAACTATCGAATACACAAAGGAAATGACCGGGGAACACTCTTGCCCGGTTGCATCACGACCACCGGCCCCGTGGCGTCTCTCCTAACAATTGCCCGGCCTCGCGACAGTATCTGGCCTCGCCTTGTCCATGGACACCAACCTCACTGCCCCAGCATATCACAAGGGCGTCAAGTATGCCGCCCATGACGCCCTCCATCGCACCAAGAACACCCCATCCGATTGCCGCAGCGATCAAACCGATGATATACGCATACATGCTTCCGTGTTTGCTCGTCCCGTCGCTCGCGATCTCCAGCATACGAGCTGTAGTCACCCAGCCTCCGAAGCCGAGTGCGAGGGACATGATGAAGCGCAGCGCGTGCAACAATAGCTTCGCAAGGCGATAGGGGAGTAGCGAGGACCCACTGCGGGAGTTGAATGATCTGGGAGTGAGCGTTGTCGTGGGCGAGTCTTTCGATACGAAAGTCATCTGTGAAAGGCTGTTTGCCGCATTACGCAAGTTCTGGCTATGTACTGAGGCATAAGTGAGGGTGAGTGGGTTTGTGAGCGTAGCGACTGAGGCTGGAATCAGGCTGTAGATGCACATGGTGATAGCGCCTGCGAAGCGACGGGGAAGGATCAGGAGCGGTGCGCGGATCAGGAGGGATATGAAGGTGGACAGGCAGATCGTACCGGCCATCGTGGTGACGGCATGGATAAATGAGGCTTGGACGACGATGCGAGAGGAGATTCGTGGCTGAGCGTTGCGATGGAAGTACCACTGTGAAACTGTTGCAGCAGTGGTGGCGCGTTGAATCCCCGCAATGACACCGAGCGTCCAGAGATATTCGAGGATGAAGCCTGCGCCTAGCCACCATGTGCTGAAGTCAAGAATGAATAGTGAGCGCTTGTTGATCTGCCCTTCCAAGAAGAGACGTGTGAACATCCAGATCCATAGCCATGTATATACGACGACAGAGGACAACGTCGCAAAACCAACGAGCAGCAAAGGTGACATCGCAGTGAGAATCTTGCCGGTAAATTCCAACAGTTCCATGGCTTTAGTGACGGACTGGCGACCTCTCCATATTGTGTAAGTCCAGAAGATCGCGACAAGGCATGGAATGAAGGACAACCATCTCATAGCTTTGTCTTGTACGCCTGAGCTTTCGCCATCGCCTTTGAAGCTTGACACGAACGGATAGAGGAAGAATGAGAAAAGTATGACGGGCACAGCCACGAGAATAATGGTGATCAGTGGACGTGCAAAGGACCGTAGCAAGGCTAGCCATAAGAATCCGACGATAATTGAAACGAGAGAGTAGACGCCGAGTAAATGGTAGGACTTTCGGAGAACTGTATATATCGTATCTCCAAGAGGTGTTTTCGGCGTGGACGTTTGCAATAACACTAGGATAAAGGCCCCTATTGTTGCACACTGGCATATCAGAAACAACTGTAGCCAAAATGTGTCGTGTTTTTCAGACTCTGGTAGAGCTTCGGCCGGAGTCGTCTCGCCGTCGGCATCTGTCTCTGTGGGTGGAGGCTGCGCTACATGTGCTTCTTCGTCCGTCTCCTGGGGTATGGGCAGTGTCGTGCGAAGCGGGCTCCTCCGACCTCTCACCGTAGGAGCTTTTCGAAATTTCTGCACGGCTGGGGGCTTGTCGTCTTGATAGTCTGATATGTCATCTACGAGTGGATCGCGTTCGCTATGCACAGTGGAGGCAAGCTCTACGTCGACCATATTTGCTCTTTCTTTGCCACTTGGTCCGTCCCCTGGGATACCCACACTGCGACCCCTGTCTTCTGTCTCTTCGACGGTGAGTCGTGTCGCTTGTGTTCTGCCGCGTCCGCCTACTTGATCGCCTTTCCAAGAGCTTTTGATGCCTCTTGAGAAGAATGCTGGACTGCCATCACCGATGCTTCTGGCCGACTCTTGCTGATCCTCATCCGTTCCTGACGACTCAACCATGTGACTCCCGAAGTTGCGACGCGACTTTTGCAGAGCATGCAGATCTGCAACTTCTCTCTCGTACTCTGTCTCATCATCCTCTTCCCGAAAATCGTCCGCAGCGCTGTAGAACAACGGTGCTGGGGCGTTGGACACTCGGGAGCTGAATGGGAACCTGGTAGACCCGCTAGGCTGGTATGGATTTGGCATGTTTGCTCTTCCTAATATCGATCTGTGTGCGCCCAGTCTCGACGACGAACGGCGGTCATAACCGTAGCGGTTTGGTGTGTTTCGAGTAGATTCTGGGTCGGGTTGTCCAAGAGACAGCCGCGACTGCGACTGTGCAAGGAACTTGGAGGCATCTATAGAGGTAGAAAGGCATCAGAGTCAGTCACACGAGCTGATCTGTCGGTGTCTCACAGGCAGCTATCATCTGCCTGATACCGCGCCTGATAAGAACGGATGTGCACTCACACTCGGAAAACATGCTGGAAAAGGCGACCTATGTTTGGGCGTGGCTGAAGCAGCTCGCCAAAGCTGCGCTGATGTAGCCAGTACCTTGTTCAGGTCGTGGTGAAGTTCTAACGAGTGGGTGGGAGGATGTACGGTGGCCGTGGCCAGGTCGGTGCCTGTAAGCTATACAATGACGACGAGAGGATACGGTGTAGTTGAGGTGTATGTGGGAGAGTAAGAATACGAGGACGATAGAGCACACAAGGTCATAGGAAGGTACAAATGGCACAGTGGACCTTGAAGGGAGGGAGAGTGAGGATTGTTAAAGCAGTTGTTAGGGAAGCATTCCAAGTCATCACTACTTGAGCACAGCGCTGGCCTGGGCAGCTTCGTTCGTTCGTGGGCGTGATCGGCGGCGAAACAGAGCAGAGTAGAGCAGCGGAGCCGCCGACACGAGACACCGAGGCGTGACGCAACTTCGCAACACGCTGCCACTCAGGCTTCTAGCTAATATCTCTGTTTGCATCACGAACTCTCCGACAACGCCTCGTCTCTCCTCCAAACAAATCTCCGTCCTGCACTCTTCCCACCCTCGAGCCCCTTGTCGTACTTGGAGCATCAGGTACAGGTACGTACCCCCGCGTCTGTCCATCTCGACCGGTCTAAGCTCAGACAGATACCGTTGAAGCTAGCTAACTACTGCAACCAACCGGTCCCTGTCCCTGTGATCACCACCGATACACCGCCCCTGGAGAGCTTCCGAAGTACCAAAAAACCGGTGTCCTCTGTACGTGTCATCGTTCGAGCGATTCATACTCCTGGCTATTATGGCACAACCATGGGACTACATAGCGAAGATTGTTTCGCTTGGAGACTCGGGTGCTGGCAAGTCAAGTGTAAGATCCCCTGATTTCGCAGCACGTCACGTCCACTAACATAAGTATGATGGGCAGCTTACAGTGCGACTTTGTGAAGGACGCTTCTCTCCACACCACGACGTGACAATTGGAGTCGAGTTTGGATCACGAATTGTTCCTGTTGGACCTCCGGCATCCCTAACCCTCGGCATAAATGATCCTACTCCAAATGGCCAAAGCACCAAACAGAACGGACCACAGAAACATATGAAGTTATCATTATGGGATACTGCCGGACAAGAGACGTACAAGTCGATAACACGCTCGTATTTTCGTGGAGCATCCGGTGCCCTGCTTGTCTTCGATATCACTCGACGTCAAACGTTTCTTTCGGCTACATCATGGTTGAATGATCTACGACATATCGCCGAGGAAGGAATCATCATCATACTCGTAGGTAACAAGTCAGATCTTGCCACCGCATCGACAGTCTCACCATCTTCGCCTGCCGACAAGAGCGACCCATCGCGGACAGATGAAGCCAACAAGCGACAGGTGACAGTTGAGGAGGCTGAGGCATGGTGTCGGCAACACGAAGTCTTGCGATACGTCGAGACTTCAGCTAAGTCTGGCGAAGGAGTTGAAAGAGCGTTCTTGGAGGTTGCGGAACGGATATACCAGAACATAGAAGCCGGCAAATACGACTTGAATGATAGGAGAAGCGGCGTCAAAGGACCAGGAGCTGGTGGTGGCGGCAAAGGGACCGTCAAGTTGAACGACAATCATAAGTCTAAAGGTATGATGGGTGGATGTTGCTAATTCTTTTTCTGCATGGACGGCGCAACGGCGTCGAAGGCGGTTCAGTCGGTGTACATTGCATGCAGACTTTTATGGTATCAGTGCGCTATGCGCAGTCGAGATTTATCATGAGATACCACGTTCGATATCATACAGAAGAACCATTATGAATACGGAATAACTCCACAGATCATACACACATTGTTTGAACCTTGGGCCAGTTGATTATTTTCAGCCCGACACATTCTGACAGTTCCATTAGATAAATACAGATCAGCAAGGCACCCGGTGGATAATCGTGCTCATAAATTGTCGCTTAGCTACCATGCAATGCGCTTGCGAGTTGTAGTCGGCCAATGGTCATATGTCCGCCGCCAGTATCGATGACTCTGGTAACAGTCAGAGCAATAATCCTACCGACGTCAGCGTATCATCACAGCTTCTTGCGACATGTCACACCCACCGATCGGACTGGAATAATGCGTATACCATGTCCTGGACAGCCGTACCGCTGCTGAACCTGGTAATGACACATTTTAAACCGACTTGCGACTGTGATACCTTGTGTATGGCCTAGGCACAGGCATATCAGTTCTCGAGCTACAGGGAAGAACACATGAAAGGCGCACATCGTGGACAAGACAATACGGTCTCGGTTGTAGTACACCTGGCAGGGTTGTGAGTAACGTTACATAAAGGCAGTCTGCATCACGTGTACTGACATGATGTCTTTGATCTCGTACGAGAGCTTGAGAGGTATCTAGTTAACAGTTTCTGGTGTTGGATGTTGCCTCGTATGGCTAAAAGGATTGCAACTCGGGGAGAAGTGAAAGAAACGGACTTGGGCCATGGCGATACTGACCGGTCAGACAGTTATCCCCCTCCGCCTCCCGATTTTTATGGCTCTCTGGAAGCGTCTGCCAGCTTGGCGAGTGCCGGTGAGATTCTGTTTGCCTTCTTTTGAAGGCCACTCTGGGTGCCTGATGCACGTGATACAGGGAATGATTTCGAACACAAGTTGCCTGTGGAATCAGGGAGGAAGGGCTATGCAATCAGGTATCAAGTCTTGAACAATACCTTGGTATGAGCATTGTTCAAACTCACGAATCTCCGAGCAACGTATCAACCCTCCATACTTCCTAAACAAAGTCTGCTCCCAGAATCATGGCGCATCTCTTTCTACATCGGTCATGAGAGTAGGTAATATGAGGGAGATGACTGAAGCGTTCTATGGGACCATATAAAAATTGCTCGTACTACAGTCTGCACACTATACTGACCCTTCGACTGGAATGGTGTAGTAGATAATAGCAACTTTCGGTCTGCACATAGCAGCGTCATGTACGTCATGCTGGGTCTGTATCCTGATATACATGCTACATCTACTTCGCTACGGCATTAGGGAATATATGAATCAAACTGTAGATGAGAGGGCTTCTTCCGAACAACAACAACGACAGGACATAGGTGATGTACGCCAGGTCCATAAGTGCTAAATGTGTACTTTTCCAGGTCGGTCCTTCGCAGCAGCGGAGGCTGTAATGTAAGTATCAACGCCATAATCCTCCGTCTCCGAAGACCAGTATCCACAGGACAGCTACGACTCAAAGATCGTAATATTCACATACTTTGTCTAGCACGTGACCTGAACGATTGCTCTCAGAATGGCTCCAACGACAATACATCCTTCCTTGCTACAACTAATATTGCATTTTGCCTGAACGCACACGCCTGACCAAGACTTTGCATCGCTCTCAATAGGCTATTACATCAGCTCGCCATCACTCGCAGGGATAAGTCACATCACATGAGGGGTCTATCTCTTATCTCTTCTTGGGGCCCCCGATTTGCAGCCAAGAGCCCCTGATCGCGTGCCTCAAGACGATCCTCCCCTCAGAGCACAAGGCGTTACACTACAGCAATGATGAGCTGAAATCAAATCGAACACGTACGGCAGGCCACATGAACTATGTCTCTCAACATTCTCAAGTCCTACGGTTACCTTTCCAAGCGAGCATCCTCATCGGGAGGAAACGAACCTTGTTCCCATGTTTCCAGCATTCGACGCCACTTTCTATGTAGATTATCCTGATCCGCCCCGGCCCCCCGCAGACGTTTATCTCTAATGCCAGGTCCAAGAAAGGCGGTTCTTGCTCCTGCCCTCTTCGGTCGCAGCGCCATCCCGCCGGCCATTCGGACTGTGCGCCGGAGGTTCTTGGCTTCTTGGCTGTCCGCCACGGAGCCGATGATGCAGAGCAAACCCATGTAAGCAATTGCAACTGCGAGAGAACCAGCAGAAGCCGATGCTCCAATTACGTCCGAAACGAAGTTGCGGCTGAGTTAGGGCTTGCTATTATGCAGTTTCCTTGGATCCGCCTTCAAACCTGCCAATTCAGGCGGTACGACACTGGCAGCTATTCGTCGTCAGCTTTCTCGGACCACTGTTTTCGCAATATGATCTGCTGTGCTCTCGTGGAGCTTGGCTAATTGTCTGACTCGAGCCTGAGATGCTTCTCATATAACTATTTCAAGGGTCTCAAGCTTGCCATGCTTAAATAGCTTGCTGCTCCCTGTGGGATATGTGGGAGGATAGCTGTTTGTTGCTTTGGGAAGCTTTTCGAATACACAGGTATCTGCAATATGAAGATTCGCCAATTGGGACTCGCTGTGAGTGGATTCACAACTGCCGCTAGAGCTACGTGCGACTACAAGCCACAAGTAGACGATGTGAGTATATTTTTCCTTTGCCCTCTGCCATCTTCTGCAGGATCTGACTGGCAATCTGCAGCTCGCACTACAGGAGTCAATCAAGCTCGAGAACCTTCTGCCACGCTCCCAGAAGCTCCAAGACTTTGCCTATGCCACGGAAGCAAGAAATCGTGTTGCAGGGAGTCCCGGTCACGTCGCAACTGTCGACTACATTATCTCCGAACTCGAAGCAACAGGGGCATACGACATAGAAAGACAGCCCTTCACCACGACTATCCAAGAAGAGGGTAGTTATCGAATCACGGTTGACAATGTCGAGTGGAATGCTGGCGAGCTCCAATTCTCGGCCAGCGGCGATGTAACTGCACCCCTGGTTGTTGTAAGCAACCTAGGATGTACTCCCGTAAGTATGCTGTGATTCCAACCCCATGATCATTCCACTCATGTGGCCAAAATAGGAAGATTATCCAGCCGCAGTTGCAGGAAACATTGCTCTTATCTCCCGCGGGACATGCGAGTTCGGGCTCAAATCTTCCCTCGCTGGAGCAGCTGGCGCGATTGGTGCTCTCATCTATGACAACGTTCCCGGCGACGCGCCCCTGAGTGGCACCTTGGGCTCCGCACCCAGACCAACAGGCCCATACGTACCAACCGTCGGGACCTCAAACAACAATGGCACAGCCCTAGTCCAAGTAATCAACAGTGGCACCGAGGTCATCGCGCACCTCGATGTCGAAACGACCATCACCGACGTGACTTCGGACAACGTGCTCGCAACGACAAAATGCGGCAACAAAGACAGCGTCCTCATGTTTGGCGCCCACACCGACTCCGTGCCCCCAGGTCCCGGCATTAACGACGACGGCTCCGGCACCGTCGCCCTCATCGAAGTTGCAAAGCAACTCGCCGCCTACCAGACCACCAACGCCATCCGCTTCGGTTTCTGGAGCGCCGAAGAAGTCGGCCTCGTCGGCTCAACCTACTACGTCGAACACCTCTCCGCCGACGCCCTGGCCCAAATCCGCGCCTACCTCAACTTCGACATGATCGCCTCCCCAAACTTCATCCACGGCATCTACGACGGCGACGGCAGCGCCTTCAACCTCACCGGCCCGCGCGGCTCCGCCGAGCTCGAGCACTTCCTCGAAACCTACTTCACCCCTTACAATTCCGTCCCGACCGAGTTTTCCGGCCGCTCCGACTACGCCGCCTTTATCGATTTCGGAGTGCCCTCCGGGGGCACATTCACGGGCGCCGAACAGCTCAAGACCGAAGCCGAAGTTGCCCTCTTCGGCGGCGTCGCCGGCGCCCCTTATGACGCAAACTACCACCAGGCCGGCGACACGATCGATAATCTCAACACCGAGGCCTTTATTATTCATGCCAGGGCGATTGCCCATGCGGCTGCTGTCTTTGGCGAGAGCTTCGATATGCTGCCTCCCAAGGAGCCGGCGAGTGTGACGAGGTTTAAGCGGGATTTGCGCAGGAGGCGGAATGAGGATCAGATGAGGGGGGTTAAGTGGAGTCATGATCATAGGAGGGAGGTGGGTGATGGGGTGGGCCATACACATGCCGGGTGTTTGGCGGGGAAGATGGTCGCGGGGATGAAGAGTTAAGCGTGTTGTTTCGTTTTCGGGGAGTTGTGGATTTGGGGTTTTGAAGTGGTGACGATGAACGATGGTGGTGATGAGAGATGAACGATGTTGATGAAGACGACGACGATGATGATGAACGATGTATCAAAGTAAACCCGGCGAGAAAATTGTCTGCTTAGCGAGGTGTTGCGGTGTGGTGTGGTGTGGTGTGAGGAGTTGCGTTGGTGTAGCAAGTTGTAGTTGGCGTAGGAGCGTGTTGGTGTTGAAATGTATTGCTGTAAGCAGTAGTCGCGATTCAGTACAATTCAAAGACATCCGGATCGTTCATATCACAGTGCTCGCCCTGACTATGCAGTTATACTAAGTGTGTATCAGACTGCGATTCCAGTCCGAGTCAAAGAGTACGGATAGCTGTTCATTGTTGATGGTACTGTGCCGATTGCACTCTGTCTGCGTGTGGTATCTTGTCGAAATGATTCTGAATGTCCGTCTGTGTATTTCGTGCTGGGATTAGACAGACCAGACAGACCAGAAATCCATTCTAGTACCGCATGCGTAAATGCGTAAATGCGTAAATGCATAAATGCGTAAAGTATACAAAGTACGTAAAATACCTAATTATATGTATATAAAACCCATTCATTACTTGCGTTACTCGCCTTTGCTTGCCTGACTGCTCCTTCTCACTTCTCACTTCACACAAACACCATAAAAGACACCTCTTATCTCGCACTCCTCATCCCCCATCGCTACGCGCGCTCCACCTTCATCATCTTCCTCTCCGTTCACCATGCAAGCCCATATACAAGTATATGTATAAAAAATATATATATTCATCCGCGTACAAAACGGACGGGTAGGTAATAGCCATGGTATCTGTATCTGTATCTGTATCTGTCATATATGTAACGCAACGCAAACGCAAACGCATGTACATATGTGTATACACAAACACAAACATATATACAAAAAAAACCCTACAGCCTAGCCTTGGGCTTACTAGCCGCCTCCTCAGCAAGCGCCTCTTCATAGAGCTGATCGAGCGTGTCGCGGTACATTTTTGCCGTTTGGGGACGCTTGAGTTTGAGCCTGTGGGGAAATGTAGTGTTAGCGCATTCATGATGGCACGGATGTATGTATTTAAATAGACGCGCGACGTTATTTAAATCGCGCATGAATGGGAAAAGAGCGGGGGTAGGGATGTGAAACTCACGTCGGCGTCAACAGCTGATTCTCGACCGTAAAGGGCTCGACAAACATCCTCAGGCCTTTAACGCGCTCCCAGCTGTTGAATTTATTCTTGCGCGCTACTTGTTCGAGTTCAGCGTGCGCGGCCCGTTCTACTTTCTTGTTGAGCGCGGCTTCCTTGAGCGCGGCAATGTCCGTCGGGTCGATTGTGGTGCCGAGCACCTTGCCTGCAAAGGCGGCGAAGCTCTCCGGCATGATGCCGAAGATGGCGACGAGGAAGGCCTGGTGGCTGTCGCCGTGGACGTACGCGGTAGCCAGCCAGGAGCAGTTTGCGAGGTAGACGTTCTCGATGCGCTCGGGAGAGATGTACTCGCCCTGGGCGAGCTTGAGCACGTTCTTGACGCGGTCGATGATGCGGAAGCGGCCGATCTCGTCGACGGCGCAGATGTCGCCGGTGTGGAACCAGCCGTCTGCGTCGACGGCCTTGGCCGTTTCCTCTGGGTTCTTGTAGTACTCGGTGAAGAGCGAGGTGCCGCGGAGGAGGAGCTCGCCGCGCGCGTGCGGCTTGTCGGTCGAGAGGTACTCCATGTCGGGCACGTCGCGCAGGCGCGCCTCGATCGTCGGCATCACGCAGCCGCAGTTTGAGGCTGTGTAATCGCCTTCCATCTGGACGAGCGAGACGGCATAGGATTCCGTTAGGCCGTAGCCTTGTACGAAGTTGTTGGCGAAGACGGCGCGAAGCAGTTGTTGAAGAGATGGGTCGATGGGTGCAGAGCCAGAGACGACCGTGTGGCAGCGCTCGAGGCCAAGGGCAGCAGAGACTTTCTTCGACCAGATGCGGTCGTACAGGAAGTGTTTGTTGGTGGGCTTGTCTTTGCGCGCCATGCTGGCGAGCTTGGTGTCAATGGCTCGACGGGACAACTTGCCGCGGAAGCCGGGAGCTTCGATGGTGGCCTCTTTGATCGCACCACCGAAGCGGTTAAAGAGACGAGGCACGCCGGAGAAAGCGGTTGGGCGGAGGAGTTTGAGATCGTCAACGAGCTCGACGATGTTGCCATGGAAGTAGCCGATTGCCGCACCTCCCCAGAGTGCTGTGTTCTCACCAAGTCGCTGGTAGATATGGGCCAGGGGCAGAAATGAGCATATAATGTCATCGTTGCCGGACTGGGTGACCATGAAACTCGAGCACGTGGCTGCAACAGCTGCTTTGTGGGTGAGAAGCACGCCCTTGGGGTTTCCGGTGGTTCCAGATGTGTAATTGATGGTTACAGGGTCCTCAGGCGACGGGATCCTGTATGGCTTAGGGTTCTTCTCTCCGAGCGCCTCGACTTGCTTGATGTCGAAGATCTTGACGCCCAGCTCACTGGCCATTGAGTTCAGAACATCCAGTTTCGACTCTCCGGGAAGCTCGCCAGAGCTGAGCACATCGAGCGATACAATGATTTTCAGCGTTGGTAACCGCGGCTTTAGTTTGAGAAGAGCTGTGATATGGTTTACGGATGTGGCGACTAGCGGGAGCTGTGCATGGTTGATGATGTACTCGGTCGTGTCGGGACCAAGGGTGTCGTAGAGGGACACAGTGAAGAGATTCTGAGACAACGCCGCAAGATCTACAGACACTGTCAGGATGGTCGCATACACATGACAAGCACAGACAAACCTGTTATTTGCCATTCTGGTCGATTCTGACACCACAGCCCGATTCCAAACTTCTCGCCAACATGTCCTTCTGCAGCGAGGAGGTCGACCAAGCCGGATCCGAAATCACGCCGTCTTTTCTGAACTGTTTGATAAGTCTCCCAGGTGTATGGCCCGAAAACCTTCTTGACGGGATCCCACGCTCTGCTGCCGAGGCATCTGCTGCGCGGAACACGATTCGCTAGTGTACCGTTAGTTTGGGATCACAGCCATCGATATTATGGAGAGAGGCACGTACCGGCATTCTCGAATGCATCGTGCATATTCACAATCTGCGAACCCACGATTAGCGCTGCATACTCCGGATCGGCGCACATGCATCATACCGCAGGGTCAAAGGTCGTCAGCAAACCATTTGTGAATCTGTGATGACGGTATATGGGGCTATAGCCGGGCTTTTCCGTGCCTGGCACTGTGACACTCTGCGGCTTTCCAGGCGCAGGAGGCACACGCGCCTCCTTCGCCTTCTCTATCGCCAAGAACGTCGGAGGAGCCATCGGGGTAGAGTAGAGTGCTTAATTCTCCGAAGTGTATGGGCGATCGCAGGTCGGAGGGTTCAAGGTCGAAGTGGAGACTATGCAAGCTACAGCGCAAGATGATGCAAAAGTACCCGCGTCGGTAGCCGGAACAAATACTCGAATGCAGCGTTTAGGGCTGAAGTGGACAGTGAAGGCCAGAATTGCTGCAGTCGCGAGCAATGTTAGCCAGCGGTTCCTTAAGTTGTGCGTGCTTGTGCAGCTGTATATTTGCTTTTAACGCCTTTTCAGGTCCGGAGCCGACTCACGATCACTGTGTCGCAATCGATATAGTGACAGATGCGAAGCTGAAGCTGAAGCTTAGAGCTGGAGGGAGAGAACGCGCGCAAGGTGAGGATATATGTAACGAAGAAGGTCTGCAGCTCAGCGCATGCAGTAGTATATTAGTAGAACGGTGAGATGAGAGATCCACGAGTGGGTGAACAGGCGCGCGACTTGGTTGGAGATGAGTTGATATGTATGTATGTGGACAGAGGGCGAGAGAGGAAGAGAAAGAGGAGAAGGTGAAGAGAGTCAGTCTTGCGTAGATTGGTATGGCTTCGGTGAGGATGACATGACAATGTGTAGATTAAGTGGTGCGTCGAGTGAGTGTGTTGGCTGCGGTCAGATGCCTCGGTTGTTCTGCTTCAGACGCCGGCGCCCCCGTGAGTGTGTTTGGCTGAGTATTGACTGCTTCCCGAGCTCGAGTATCTTGCCCAGACTCGCACCCATGAACGAATGAGACGCGCATGGTTGTCACGCTTGGAAGACAGGGGAACCGCGGCAGTGTGTAACAGTTGACGGTTGTAAACATGGATTCATTGTTCTTGGTTCTCTCTACTTTACACTTTTCGCTTTTCACATGCGGGGAATTTCCTTGAGGCGCTGCAGTGGCGCGGGCCGGAGCTGGAACTCTGTGGGGTTTAGTCTCGGCTTTTGGCTTTCGGCCCATGTGCTTTGCCCCGGTAATAATAATAAGTCAACGTCACGAGTCACGGCTTCACTGTCTGCACTTGGCCATAAGTGATTATTACAGCTTCATCTTATCGATTCGTTTTTGGTATTAGCCCACCAGAAGTCGTCACTAATTAGTCTACACAGATCCCGCCAGCGCAGCATCGCCTTCTGCCTTCTTGCCAGCCTCTGCGTTGCCAGCTGCACCGCTCTCGCCTGGCTTCGTGGCCGACGCTGCGAACGACTGAGTAAAATCAGCCTTGATGTCGTCGATGTGTTCGTATCCGACCGAGATGCGGATCAGATCTTCGGTCACGCCACTGTTGATCTTCTCTTCGTCCGACAGCTGTTCGTGGGTCGTTGTCCAGGGGTGAATGGCAAGAGTTTTGGCATCACCAACGCTACAAACATCATTAGCGCGCACCCAGCATACCACTCACTACACAGCAGACTTACTTTGCCAGGTTCGAGATCAGCTTGAAGTTGTCTACGATCTGGCTTCCGGCTGTAGCACCGCCCTTGACGCCAAAGGACAACACACCACCGAATCCTCTCTTCAAGTATTGCTTCGCAAGCCCGTTTGACGCATGGCTTGAAAGACCTGGATACGAGACCCAGGAGACGTTCTCGTTTGCTTCGAGCCATTGCGCAAGAGTCAAGGCGTTCGAGGCAATTCTCTCGGCCCTCAAGCTCAAGCTCTCGATACCAATGAGGAGCTGCTGTGCCGAGAAGGGGCTCAGGCAGGCGCCCAAGTCACGCAGAATCTCAACACGGAGCCGGATTGCGAATGTGATGGGCCCGAATGTGTCGTAGAACTTCAGGCCATGGTAGCCTTCGGCTGGGTCATTGAATTGCGGGAAGCGCTTTGCGTTCTTTCCCCAGTCGAACTTGCCGCTGTCTACAACGATACCGCCGATGGTCGTTCCATGCCCACCGATCCACTTGGTCGCTGAGTGAATCACGATGTCAGCTCCGTGCTTGATTGGCTGAACGTAGAAGCCTCCAGCACCGAACGTGTTGTCCACCTACCATACACCATTAGCACTGATAAACGTCTATTAGCAGCTAATACATACCACCACTGGTACTCCGGCTGCGTGAGCAATTTCTGCAATTTTCTCAAAGTCTGGAATGTTGTACTTGGGGTTACCAATGCTCTCAATGTAGATGGCCTTGGTGTGGTCGTCGATAGCAGCCTTGAAGTCCTCGGGCTTGTCTCCATTGACGAACTTCGTCTTGATGCCCAGTCTTGGTAGTAATACCTTGAGCTGGTTGTATGTGCCGCCGTAGAGGTTGGTGGTGGAAACAATGTTGTCACCGACCTGAGCAAGAGCAGCGAAGGTCATGAACTGTGCCGCTTGTCCGGACGAGGCTGCGACAGCTGCTACGCCGCCTTCGAGGGCTGCAATGCGTTGTTCGAACACATCGACAGTAGGCTATGCAACGATTCGCTCGGTCAGTAGGTGGCAATCGAAGCTACACATTGATAGGGCTTTTTGCACTCACGTTCATGATACGACTGTAGATATTGCCAAACTCCTTTAGGCCGAAAAGGCGAGCTCCATGAGCGGAGTCATTGAAGACGAAAGACGTCGTCGCGTAGATCGGAACTGCGCGTGAATTGGTAGCTGTGTCTGGCGAATGGCTGCAAGGATATCAGCGTCACTGTATCTCAATTCGCTCCCAAAGAGAGTGTAAGCCTACCCAGCATGTAGCTGCAGCGTTTCAAAGTGTTGTGAGAGTGGTTCACCCATGTCGACAAGAGGTTGAGATGGGCTGTGATTGTGTGTATGAGACGAAAGAGCAGGCTCTTAGGGCAAGTGGGACGTAGACAGCACAGGGTCTTTATTGTGCCCCGTACGACCGACCTTGATGGACCATCAAACTTCTCCCTCAATGGACCATCCTCCCATTACTGCGCGATCTCGGCAATGCAACACAGTCGAATTTGTTTGGTCCATCATTGTGAACAACATTCATCATGCCCGGTGTCGAGCACGCAATCACGCCTAATGATCTGTAGCTCCCCATGGCTCGTCACCTTCATAGCCCCCCTGCGGATGTATTCTGATGATGGATTGATACTCTTCCACATTGAGCCGTAGCCTACTTGGGTAGTCAAAAAGTCTTCTGCTATGGAATCATCTCATTCGATGTCACAATGTCGACCACCAAATACTGAGCGAAACTACCAATGAGCACTTGAGGTAATAGGCTTCAACAGGGAGAAGCTTCATTTCAATTCCTGGGTCCCAGTGAATGCGTTAACCCCTCGATCGGCGGGGTAATTGGAGCTATAGCCTCCTGCCTGTGCGGGGTATTTGTAAGGCATAATGTTGGCCTCAGGACATAATGTCTGCCTGAACTCTTCTCAGAAAGAACTGCGCGACTCCATCATGGGTCTGCAATATTATTGCTGGTACCTCTGACGGTTTTCGTATCTATATTATAGCACATCTGCTGTATCCTACGACCCAAAGTTCATCTTCAGTGCGATCGAAGGCTCGTTGGACTCTTCATTTCTTCGAACATGTTGCTGGCCACCAGTCTTTGATCCTCCTGCCTTTATGACCTCTTCCATAAAAGACCGCTGTTCGGCGCTGAAGCCTCCAACCACGCCTCGGAATTCAGCCTGTACAGATCCAGCAAGCTCGAGCAATCGACTCGCAGTTTCTTTGTATGTGCCCTCGCCCTCCTTGCTAGCCCGAGCGAGTAATGTCGGCAGAACTAGAGCCAGTGCACTTGTTATTTGTGCTCGTTGCAGTGTTGGTACGAACGAGGTAAGTGTTTGTGTGATAATAGGCCGTATTGCATCGAGGCCTTCGACGTCTGACGGAATCGACAGGAAGGCTAGGATGTGGGGTATGAGATGAGCTGCGATCGCAGATTCGACCGAACTTTTCTTTGGTAATAGGAGGAGCGACCGGCAACAGTTCGCTGCAACTAGACTGGTAAGTCTATTGCCGAGACAGTCGCCAAGGCAGTCAATAATCTGTTTGATCAAATGATCTTGTGCGTCCATGAGCGGACAAATTGAACTCAACACAATCGTAAGCGCAAGAAGGGTGTTCTTCTCACACGGAAGCGCAGCTTCAGACTCCCGCTTCTGTGCATTTTTGAGTATTGCAAGGAACCGGTTGAGCATGGTACGCAATTGAGTCTTCGTTTCTTCAATCTGCTGAGGACCGACTTTTATAAGACTGCCTAAGAATCGCTTCAGAATCGGGAGGGACTGCGGCACAACAACTGCTTGACATGATCCGGTGCCGAGTATCGTCGTGAATATGTGAAGTATGCATGCATGTAAATCGGTTTTGATGATTGTAGGGAATACGTCTGCTGCGTCAGCTAATGCGGAAAGTGCGAGACCGAGCAGCTCCACAGCCTCGTCACTTAATACTGAGCGAGCTATATCTATTAGTAAGAGTGTGCAAGGTTGGGTATGCATATAAACATACGTTTGCTCTGGCTATCGGCGAGGTTTGGAAGCAGACCAGTAATCACGAGGACGATGATTCTTGTAAGTTCAAAAAGCTGATCGATATCGTCCGAGAGATTCTCTTCAGCATGTGCAGCACTACGCAATGTCAGTCGATTGCCGAATCGTCCCGAACCAGTGCATACCTTGCGCCTTTTCGTGCGGACGGATGCCCGATACAAAGATTTCTTGCGATATCAACGATAACCGACTGAACACTCAGACCCTCTGTTAGGACAAGTCTGTCCATCAAGTCCATGGTTTCGGAAAAAATAACCTCTTGATATATTGCATGGCCGGAGACGGAAGGCCTTAGTATCTTCTTGATGGCTTGGAGAATCTCGATTATTTGCGACTTCGATGCTTGTTGGTCGCTTGACCTCCCAACAAGTGCTTCGAAGGCGAGACCAAACAAAACAAAGAAGAATGCGACTGGTTCGTCTCGATAATTGATATCAATAGCCTTATCCTTTGATTCACCCGGAGTGGCTTCGGTCTTTCCATCTAGGGCGTCGAAGACGAATTCACTGTCCTCATCGATAAGACTTGCGATCGCATCCACGAGATTGAGCCACGCCTGTTGATAGAACTGGAAAGATTCAGAAAAAGTAACCAAACCAGGGTTGGCGACAACATACCTTCAATAGAGTCTCCCGATTCAGGGCAGCATATATGGTGTCAAGATTGCCTGACATAGACGGTCCACCAGTGGATGTAGAGATGTCAGGCTCGAAACGTAACCGAGCATACTCTCGCAGTGAAGCTAGCCACAGGGGTGTAAGTTTTACAATATGGGGCTTGACAACATCAACCAAGTACTTCTGATCAGCGCTTGCAATTTGTAATTCAGCCCAAGCCGAGAAGACCGACATCTTCACCATGACTTGGGCATTGGAGCTGAGACCCTTTAGATCACCAATGGCTGCAGTCTCGGACTCTTCAGCAAAGTTCTCCAAAGCGGCAACCAGAAGCTTCAGGATTCTGCCCATTCGGTCGACATCAGTGACGATGCCAGTTGCAATAAAGCTTGCGCATACATTCACCGCTTCAGCTGCAAGCTCAGGGGATGAATCTGCCGCAAACGCCGGGGTAAGAGCAGACCCAATCTGAGCTTGGTACTGTTCCAGGAGAGTGGCTTCGGGAAAGTCGGGATCCAGAGTCTTGCCAAACATCTTCAAGACCTGCTCTACAATCTTCAGGCCCTGTATGCGTAGCTGCACGACACCAGCCGTGGAGGCTGAAAATGCTACCCGGATGATGTCTGCAACCTTATGCTGCAAAGCCAGTGCAGCAGGCGAGTCCTCGTTATTGGTAGCGTCTTTTGAGACGACACGAAGCAATTCTAACAGACACTGCATCGCAAAAGTTCGGACCTGCCACTTCAATGACTCCTGAGACGCAGCCCCGGTAGCATTGGGCTCTTCTGATGGAGCATTAGCAGCTGCAGCGAAGCCAGCAACTTCTTCATCCTGTAGATCTGGGACACCTTCTGCCGGCTTCGCTGACTGTATTTTAGATTTTTCTTCCTTTCTTACGATTTTGAAGAGGATAGTGTGGCATCGTTGTACCCATAGCGCAGTCTCAGTCAGAGCTGTTTGATCAAGCCAGTTGCTGATAATGCTGCGAACGCTTTTGTGATCGGTATCCTGATTCAGGATAGTCCAGAGTTGCTCGTCAAGACCAGGATCAGCCGTTTTGAAAACTTCAGTGGCATTCCGCCTCATCAGATTGTGCAACCCGTCAACAGCCATGTCTCTCAGAGGTATTGAGTCGGATGATAAAGATTCTTGGAGTGAAAGCACATAAGCCTTGAAGTCCATATATCCCGGGGCATAGAGTGACAAGTGCTCTTGGCATCGCTGGCCTTCGAAACATACCAAACTATCACTTTCTTGCTGGAAAAGGTAAATTATATTCATTATCATGTCTCGGGCTTTCGACATATCCTGTAGGTCCGGCCCCAAGACATTGATGATGCTGTCGATGCAGCGAGCAATGGCGGCTTGAGAAGGAAGATCGATCTCCAGATTCGACCCCGCTAGGGATGAGCCTTCCTCGTTATGCGTATCGGCAACATAAAGCTGAGCTAACATACCCAGACTGCTCGAGACGTACCCGGAAAAACTGAGGCCGGCTGAGTCAGCCACTCTGGAGAGACTGTCCAGAGCCCAGAAGTGAACTGTAGGGTGAGGATCACTTGCGAGGGACATCAGTATACCGAGGATATTTTTGAGATGATATCCGGCGGCCATGCCCCCAAGCTGAGAGTGGATAGAACCTAGCGCAATCGCACAACCAGCGCGCACATGCGGTTCACGATTAGAAACAATCTGATCGACCAAATAGTTGACCTCGTTCGTTGTAAATGCTGTACCAGAGCTGCTACAAAGGCGTCCCAGCGCCTCGCAAGCAACATTCCGTGTGTATTGATCGGGGTGTACAATGAATACCTGAGGAATATGAGAACATAGCAGGCAGACAAAGGTCTTTTAGCTTACATGTAAGAATTCCTGTAGAAGCTTTTCTACGGCGGGACCTTTTAGGTCGCCAGGGGCTGACTGTGTCTCTTTTACGGCAACCTTCAATGCAGAAAGTATGCCGAGTGCGATATTGACCGTGATCGCAGCTTTCCGAGCCGGGTCCCGTTGGAGACTGCCAGCGGAGAGAAAGGAGGATATCTGTTCGAGTATGCTCTCCTGGATTTTCGCGCTCTGCTGAGGTAGAGTGATAGCAAACAGACAGATAGCAGAGTTCACGACTTCGGTAGAAGGCGGCTCAGGGAGTTCAACAGGCCTGTCGGCAGTTCCTACATAAAGTGTGACAGAGTCATGTTCACGGGCGCTACAGATCGGAGACAGGAGCTAGATGGATGATTAGATATGTTTGCAGACTGAATTTGCATAGGCCTACCGTTTGGTCTATCTCAGCCTCTATATCGGCCCTGCTGGCCCAATGATCTGAAAACTTTGTCTCGTGCTGCCCGGGGAGAGGCTTTATGTTGAATCCACGAACCATTCCCGAGACCCCGAAACCGCAATTATCCGATATATCCCATAGGCTCTCGAAAGTTCCTGCAGAGCTAGACAGAGAGGTACTGAGCGAGCTCGGAGTATACGCATCGGGATCTGCAAAGCATGATACTGCAAAAGGTAATAGGTTGGTTTGTATCAGTCCCTCACTGCTTCCCGTTGGATTCAAGCCAACTAATTTTGTGTAGCATTGTAGTACTCGTCGCCGCACCATAAGATCAAAATCCTGGAGCTGAAGAGCTGGTGACAACCTCTGGGAGCTGTCCTCCGTTGTTTTCTTCGATGGAAGACTGTTGAGAAACATCGTGCTGTTTTGAAGCATAGTCGCTAATCTCTTTGTGACATCAACAGTCAATATACGGCTATTGAACTCAAGAAAGGTGAGAATGGACCCCAGGGCACATTCTCTCACATGTGCTAAGAAGCTCAACTCGAGAAGGTTTCGCTGTACCATGTTGTCCTTGTTTAGTGGTTTCGGCAAGGCATTCTTCCATAGAAGCAGCAGCTGTGAAAGATGAATCTTGACAAAACTGGGCCCAAGTGTCATCAGTCCGCCAATGAGGATCCAGGCAACTTGGATTTGTGTACTTGATATCTTGAGATCGGAACTTCCACTCGACTTGAGCAGAGTCGTTGCTTGCGACAAGACTCGGGAATTAACATCTACAGAACCATAGAGTGGCTGTAAGGTAGAAGTACTCAAGACGGCAGACAAACCATTCGCAAACCCGACACAGCGTCTCGGCGACTGCCTCGGACCAGCGAGAAGGTTGAGTTCACGGTTGACGCTATTCATACATATCGTGACCGATGGTAAAAGTTGTTGTGGGCATGCCAGAACGAACGCTCGCAAGCAGGCTGAAGCATGAATTTGCACAGTGTAGCTAGGATGTTGAAGGACTTGCAGTAACGCCTCACGACACAGCTCTGCAATCCCACTCGCTGCAGCGCCAAGCGAGTTCAGTAACGAGGCCAAGGCACTGAGCGTGCCTGTTAGAGTCTGCTTCGATGGCTCTTGTCGCTCCTTCAAAGCCTGGGGATAGTCTTTCAGGATAGCATTTACGAGGTATTTTGCGGCGTTCAACTGTCCTGTTTCTCCCAGAACTTGTCGCCCAATGACAGCCTCTAGTATGGTTCGGACGAACTTGCGTGTGATTAAGAAGCGATGCCGAGAATAAATTATACTAGGGAAGCTCAAAAGATCAACAAGAAAATGCGAGGCTATCTCGCCATACTTGGTTTCCACGATACCAGATCCAAGTTCTCGCAAAGTTTTCAGGTAGCATATCGCTATGCCTGCGCGCGCGCGATTGGTAGTTGCCGGCTTACAGTACGTCGAGGACAAGTTCCGCAGGATATCACCAATGCTGAAAGACAATTGTGTTACATCTTTCGTTGGCCCTGGTGACTCGGGCCGTTCTATGCTACCTTCATCGCCATCTAGATCAGTCTTCTTCTTCGACTTCTTTGGTTTCTTGACTTTGGGTACGGCGTCCTTTGATGGATTTTCAGAGTAGCTCTTCGCCAGGACTGCGCTTAGACAGGCAGCTGCACAATGCCGCACGTGTGGAGACCTACTGTCGAAGGCTTTCCAAAGGGCGCTTTGCAGCTTCTCAAAATCTCCCGAGTTGTCCAGGTAGGTATTGCATCGAAACAGCTGCTCCAAGCAGTAGCAAGCACTGGCCTGGACGAATTGAGACTTTTCACTAGAGGCAGCATTCCTCGCTTGCTTGAAGACATCGCGTACGGCGGACTCGTCGGCGGATTTGCCAATGCCTTTGTATATCTTCCCAAGAGCCTTGAAGGTGACACCCCTAAGACCGGTATGACCTTGCGCAGTCTTGAGCAATCGAAGTAGAGAGGTTACAGCCAAGGTCGCAAGGTGTATTGCGCTATCGCCAGCTGCTTCGTAAACACATCCAAGGCAATGTGCCGCTGTCTGCTTGCTCCGCAAATCCCTTTCTGTCTTACCACCAGCGCTCAGGATAGCCACCAGCTCGTTGATACTTTCGACGAGCAGTTTTCGATCGCCCTTTCCCAAGACATGAGCAAACGTATGCCCAAGATTGTTTCGTACAACTCGATTGAGAGGGGGTGCGGACAGGTTGATGACTTTTGATAGCTCTTTCTTGACGTATATCTGCTGGGCTGAGGCGCCATCAGCATCTAGTTCAGAGACATGTCTAGCGAGATCGGTCGTAAATGTGAGGAGGAAGAGGTCTTGCTGTTCAGAGGGGAGAGAATGCAGCTTGGTCACGTCGAGTTCAGGGTAAGAGCTGTCACCATTCGCTGATGGTTGCTCCGACATAGTGGATGCAAAAGTCCCTTGATATTGTGGTAAGATTTCAGATTATGATTGACATGCTCGTAGCGGCCAATATGCTGGTCTCAGCAACAACAAGCGGCCTGTAGGGATGCTTGTTCACTCGTGCGGGCAAGCTTGCGGAGGATACGGAGGTGAACGCACGGGCCCTTTTGATACTTTTAGTTTGATCAGGACGAGCAGAAGACATAGTATAGATCACACCTCTCTAAATAACAATTTCGAACAACCGCTGATGCGCATCAATCATACTCTACGTGCTCTCAGGTGCTCAGATGCTCCTTACATACGCTACGCATCCCATCAAATACGTGCCTTCCGGACGACATGCACGTTCTATTCTGGCCACAGTAGGTGGTCCAAAATAAAACACGACAAAGCTCAGACAGATGCACGGAAGAGTAAAGCACGGCAGCCACTTAGTCGACTTATAACTGCAGCCTCAAAATGTATTTCATCACCACTCACTATCGAAGACTCAGCTCATCAAGGTTTTAGTCTACGGCCCAGATCCGACTTCGAACCTACAATTGGCCAATGCGATCGCAGCGGCTAAGAAACAAGGCCTCCCGAAAGACTTCATAGAATCTGCGATTGCGCGAGGTCAAGGAGTATCGTCCAGCGGGAAACCCCTGACCTCAGTCGATATCGAGGCTCTATTTCCTGGCGATGTGGCCGTTATTGTTGAGTGCGAAACAGACAATAAAAACAGGACGGTGCAAGATGTGAAAACGATAATCAAAGACCATGGTGGTAGCATAGCCTCTATTTTATACCTCTTCGAGAGGAAGGGTCGCATCGAGTTCAAAAAGAGGCCTAATCTCACGGAGGAGTACGTTCTGGAAGCTGCACTCGAAGCTGGTGCCCTAGACGTTGAGGATGAGGCAGACTCCATCGTCGTATACACAGAAGCTACAGAAACCAAGGCGGTCGCAACAGCGTTAGCTGCGTCTCTGCAGGCTGAAGTAGAATCTGTGGAGGTATTGTGGACACCAAAGAGTGATACGTTGGTGAACGCTACAAGAACAGCATATCAACTGCAGCAATGGGAACAGTTCACAGAGAAATTGAGTTACGAACATGGTTTCCAACGACTGTACACTAACGAGCAAGAGCAGGTGACAGATGCCTAAAAGGAAGCCCGCCAGTGAATGCGGTTGATTAATGCATTCAGCAAAAAGTGTAGATATATACAGTACTGTACATAGAGCCGCAGAAGTGCGGTCTACTCCCCGTTTGCCCTTTTCCCTGACAAAACCATGAACGCCAATGTTTCCCACTATGCAGGACTATTGTCATTACATTCGGAGGCGAAATTCTTCAACTTGACTCCTGGTCTTGCGTGCGTAGACCTTGTGCTTCGGCTAGCTCTTTCGCCCTTGCTTCCTGCGCTAATCGCTCGTCTCTGATCTTGAGTCTCTTTGCTTTTAGTCTTGCGAGCTCCTTATCTATCTCCTCTCTCTCGAAGGGGATCTTGTACGTTTGCTCTTGTGACGGCCAGAAGTTATCGACTTTGAAACGTCCTACTTGTGGTCAATACAGATATGCCTGGTAGCGGATATAGAAGCGAACCATCAAGATTGGTACCGAAATAATACATGATGCCGATTGGGAAAGATATGTACATGGCGAACTAGACTTTGGTCAGTACAGTTTGGACACTCGGCGAGTGGATGCAGATGCTTACCTTGAAGACTTCTAAATTTGGTCCACCCATTTTGCTTGCTGGCGAAGAAGTGAAGATTGGTGCCGAGGTCGTCGTCAATTGAACTGGGAAGTACCGCAACCGCGCAATACAAACAACTTCTTTCCTTTACGCCATTCAAGCCAAGACTCTGGGATTTCTCCGGGAAAACTGACCAGACCTACGACGGCATGGATGGAAGCCGGTGTGGGCACTGTGGGGTAGAAGCCGAGGCTAGATTGAGTTCAAGGGGCTAGGTTGGTTACTACTGAACGTCTACCCGTGGATAAAGTTACAAGAACGTGCTCCATGTAACGACTTAGAAGCTTTCTGCAGCCTTCACAAGATGGCAAGCCAGATTCCTGACGACGAGGCTGTGACCATCGAGTATCGCGGAAAGATTGCAATCATTACACTGAATCTGCCCAAAAAGCTGAACGCATTGTCACATGCGCTCTACTTTCGTATAGCTTGTTTGTTGCATGAGATTGCAGCTCGCGATGACATCTTCATCACCCTTCTCGCGGCAAAAGGTCGTTTCTTCTCGGCGTATGTATTTCAACCTTGCGATTTATCAGATAGTACTGACCTGCTTAACAGGGGTGCTGATATCTCTCGGATCAGCTATCCGTCAGAGAATGAACCGGAACAGACTCGACGGCTTCACTACCTACAGGGCTTTACAACTATGAACCTTCATACCACTCATGCCTTTTATTCACACCCGAAAATCCTTATTACAGCCCTGAATGGTCCAGCTGTAGGGATGACTGCAACCTTGACCGCATTTTCAGATTTCGTCTATTGCACTCCTGAGGCATACATTCTGACACCCTTCACCTCGCTGGGACTTATATCCGAAGGAAACGCGGCGCGCGCATTTGTGGAAAGGATGGGCATATCAAAGGCTAACGAAGCTCTGATCATGAGCAAGAAGATCACCGCCGAGGAACTGCTACACTGCGGCTTCGTGAACAAGATATTCGATACCAACAAGGACACCGACAAGTTCAACGAACAGGTACTGGCGGAGGTGAATGATCGATTGGGCGAGAATTTAAATGCCGACAGCATGTTGAAGATTAAGAAGCTGATCCGTAAGCCAGGGTTGGATGAGCATGATCGTTTGGCGGTGCATGAGGTACTTGGTGGCATGGAGAGACATCTCGAGGGTATCCCGCAAAAAGAATTTGCAGCTCTAGCGAGCGGGAAGAAGAGACACAAGTTGTAACGCACTTCAACGACCATTCTTACTACGCTGCTCCTCTTCGCGGTCCCCTCGTTCACGCAGTCTTTCCTCTTTCTCCTTCCAGTGACCGCCCTCTTCATAATCGTCCCGGATCTTCAAGGCTTTGCGCATGTTTTCCATCTCCTGGATCTTAGCCTGGCCTAGTTCGTGTACTTGATGACTCTTGAGACCCTTTGCCGTTGTTTTTGAGCTCTTGGAATTCACCCTGTCGCTCTCTAGCTTCTTCCTATAAGCATCAACTTTCTCTTCGATCACATCCTCGGTCAAGTCCCTTCTGCTGTTAGTGTCTATGCTGTGGACACGATAGGCATAAACTTACGCGTCGTCACCTGTCTCTAACTTTTCTTCGAGCTCGTCCCGATATTTGAGCACTTCGTTCTCAAGTTTGAGCCGTTCCTCGTGCTCGATGATTTCTTTATTCGGTTGTCGCTGTCTGAACTTGTACTCATCGCGATCTTTGGGGTACGGCGCGCCATTATCGCGCGGCTTCAGATGCGACAAGTTCCGCTGGACGTAGCCGGATGTCCCACTGCCCCGAGGGGTGGAGAGACCAACATTCTCGGACATGTCTGGCGAAGGCTAAGATGTTAGAAGTGCAATGATTGGAGCTGTTGGCAAGACTTCGGCGAAACGAGTGATGTGTGTGGGGGACGTGCGGAATCAGTACCGAATGAAGCTAGTGAAGCTTGGTAAACTCCGGCTAATAGACAGATCTAATATTGGCCGCCTTTCTGCTCGTTTTCAGCCACGGCCATAATAGTGGAACCAAGTCAAAGCCATACGAGAGGATCGATTCGGTATGCACATGGTTGTTTTCAGGTAAATTATGGAGCACACTGGACATAATCTGAGAAAAGGGCCAATGCATCTACCTGTAAAGGAACGAATCAGGCCGAATGACCAGCCCCTTCATACGCGCCACCATTCGTACTCCAGGTGGCCATCTGCATTGCTGCACATATCGCTATGTAGTTTTCCATTCACAGTAAGAGAAACATGCCAACGGCCCAATAGCGGAGAACAAATTGCTAGCAGAATCTCAGCAATCCTTCGAGATAGCGCTCAATGAGACCACAAAAAACCTTCATGATTTGCAGGAAACTTGCCTCCCAGACTTTGGAAAGGCCTACGGACTGTCACTAATTACTGCATGATTGTTGATGTACGGCAATATGTAAACGTACGCTCTTTTGCGTCTGCATACAGATATTAGAGTATGGTCCGCTCCACCACAGCTTTTATACGAACATTTAGCCGATATCGACATAGCAGCGTCAGGATCCCGGTCATACCCCTCATACGTGAGTCGCACGCGAGATTGAACGCAACAATGCTGGGCGATGTCCCATATAAATCGACCCTGATGGGCCGCTGATCGGCCGCTGATACCGATGTTCTACCACGAATCCCCGCTAGTATCAAGTACGTAGCCAATCAAGAGCTTCATATCCAACTACCTTTCGCCGCACGACAGCTAAATTCACTTGGATTGAATTAACCCCTTATCGTGTCGTGCTCAGTATGGCGGAGTGTCGGCCCGGTATGTTGACGCTAGGGCGGCAATCTATCGTGTTGTTCTTGCAGTTGCGTCCGGCGGGTCACGACTGCCGTATCAGGTAGTGAGTACTATGTTACCTATGACGATCTTGCATACATAAAGTCTGTCAAGACCCGCTCCAGTGATGCCTGGAAAAGAAATCTTGAGATCGTGTATTGCGCTTCTTCACGTGGAGCCTTCAAAATGAGTAACGTTGACACGACCTTCAAGGAACTTGACGTAGAGGCGTTGTTGGAAGAATTGGATTTGGATGAGAAAATCAGTCTCTTATCAGGTACCAGCTTACAGCCTTCTACTGTCACGCCGCACTTCCTGATATGACTCTCAGGAATCGACTTTTGGCACACCAAGGGCATTCCTCGACTGAAGATCCCGTCACTACGTACATCAGATGGTCCCAATGGCGTGAGAGGCACTCGCTTCTTTAAAGGCGTACCGGCTGCATGCTTCCCATGTGGCACTGGCCTTGCCGCTACATGGGACACAGCTTTGATCAAGTCCGGTGGCCAGCTTCAAGGGAAAGAAGCCATTGCCAAGGGGGCTCATGTCATTCTTGGTCCGACAACGAATATGCAACGTTCGCCGCTTGGAGGGCGCGGGTTTGAAAGCTTCAGTGAAGATCCGTATCTAGCTGGTGCTATGACTGCCGCAACTGTCACTGGAATTCAGTCCACAGGCGTGGCCGCTACGGTAAAACACTTTGTTTGTAACGACCAAGAAGATGAACGACAAGCTGTCAACTCCATCTTGACTGAACGTGCGTTGCGAGAGATCTACTTGATGCCGTTTCAGATCGCGCAGCGCGATGCAAAACCACTATGCTACATGACGGCATATAACAAAGTAAACGATACTCATGTCAGTGAAAGTCCCAAGCTACTGACGGATATTTTGCGCAAAGAATGGGGTTTCAACGGGCTTGTCATGAGTGACTGGTACGTTCCGCAAACTGCTACCACTGGATTCCCCTGACAGCCATCTAGGTTCGGTACTTATACTGCGACACAGTCGATCAAAGCAGGACTTGATTTGGAGATGCCTGGTCCGCCAGTCGTCCGCAAAGAGAACGTCCACATTGCGATCCGTTGCGGACAACTTGCCAGTCATCTGATCGACGAGCGTGTTCGAAACGTTTTAAATCTGGTCAATCGTGTTGGCAAGCTCAACATACCAGAAAATGCACCGGAAACTACCATAGATTCGCCAGAGACTGCGGAACGCCTACGAGACACTGCTGCTGCCGGCATCGTACTATGCAAAAACAACGACAATGTCTTGCCATTTGACCCAGCAAAGACAATCGCCGTCATTGGTCCTAATGCTAAAGTTGCAACATATTCTGGTGGTGGCTCCGCATCCCTTCTTCCTTACTATGCACGAACACCTTTCGAGGGCATCACGGCTCAGGCCAAGGACGTCAAATACACACTTGGCGCTATTGCCTATAAGAATCTACCACAACTTGCCCCTGAGACCAGAACAAAGGACGGGCAAGTCGGCATGATTGGCAAGGTCTACAATGAACCACCGTCGAGCTCCGTTCGCAACCTTGTCGACGAGATCCACATTGACAACCTTGTTATGCTACTCGCAGACTACTACCATCCCAAGGTCAATCCAGATCTCTTCTACATGGACCTCGAGGGCACTATCACTGTGGAGGAAGATTGCGACTTCGAATTTGGTGTTGCCGTCTGCGGCACCGCAAAACTCTATGTCGACGGCGAGCTAGTCGTCGATAATGCCACGCACCAGCGTATCGGCGAGAACTTTTTCTCCGCCGGCACAGAGGAAGAGAGAGGTGTAAAGCACCTCAAAGGCGGCCAGACGTATAGCCTCCTCTTGCAATGGGGATCCAGCATCACTCAAACGGTGAAGCGCAAAGGCGCAACAGTCATGGCCAGCGGCGGCATCCGTCTCGGCGGTCTTGCCATTAGTGATTCCCAAACAAATATCGCCAAAGCCGTAGCTCTTGCAAAGGAAGTCGATCAAGTCATCATCTGCGCTGGTCTCAACTCCGAATTTGAGTCTGAAGGATATGATAGACCACATATGGATCTGCCCGGCACACTCAATGATCTCATCGCCGCCGTCAGCAAAGCCAATCCACGCACCGCCGTCGTAATGCAATCCGGCACGCCAGTATCCATGCCGTGGATCGACTCCGTACCTGCACTCATGCAGGCCTGGTACGGCGGAAACGAGACAGGCAACGCAATCGCCGACGTCCTCTTTGGAAAAGTGTGTCCGAGCGGGAAACTACCGCTCAGCTTCCCCATCCGCAACGAGGACAACCCAGCGTTCTTGAACTACAAGAGTGAGCGTGGCCGCGCCTTGTACGGCGAGGACGTCTATGTCGGATACAGGTTCTACGAGAAGATAAAGCGCGACGTTCTGTTCCCCTTTGGGCATGGCCTAAGCTACACCACGTTCAACATGTCTGGCCTCAAAGTCGTTGATGACGGCACGACCCTTACGGCGACGGTTGATGTGGAGAACACAGGCGCGTGCAAGGGCGCGCAGGTGGTGCAGGTATACGTCTCGCAGCGCGAGTCTGGTGTCGGCAGGCCGGTGAAGGAGCTCAAAGGCTTCGCAAAGCTGGACTTGGAACCGGGCGAGAGCAAAGAGGTCACGGTGGAGATGCAGAAGAAGTATGCGGCGAGCTGGTGGGACGAGGAGAGAGATGCGTGGATCATGGAGAAGGGCGTGTTTGATGTGCTTGTGGGCGATAGCAGTGCAAAGGCAGATCTGAAGGGAGAGTTTGAGGTTGCGAAGACGGTTTGGTGGAATGGGTTGTGATGGCATCGTGGAGTAGAGCAGCAAGCCACTCGGGTCTCTCCTCTATAGTGGATCGCAAGGCCCAAGAGATGGTCGGGACTCACATGCATGCAAATTAGAAAGCACTTCGAATTCATTCATAAGTCCATACAATATATCGTAGTGATAATATATCATTATAGAAGCGTCGCTCCGACGCATAAACTCTTCCAGTAATGCATCTGAAAACATATAATAATGCAATACCCAACGCGCCTGATCCAAATGCATCCGCTCGCTATCAAAAAAAGAATGCCCCCGAAGTTATATGGACAGTAGGTAGGTAGACCACACACGTCATCGTTGAGGGGTATATATGAGATGTTTTGGAGGAAAAGAAAAAAGACACATTCATGGTTTTTCTCTTGGCTTGAATGAAGAGAGATTCGTAGTATTCGTCATGTCGGAGCTGCCTCTCAGATCAGGCCATCGCTGGCCCGCCGCCAAATCCACTCGTGCGTCTAAAGTCCGGGTTATCGTATGCGTCGCTTGGGTGCCTCGCGTGGCCGTACGCGGGGTCTATGGTATCGCTCTGTGTTCTCTCGTGGCTGTATGCACCGCCGTAAGCGGTATGCTCCTGGTGAAAGGCCGGCGTGCCAGGCGTGCCCGGGTTCTGCACCGCACTGTAGCCCAACGGTGCCGGGCCGGGCAGAGGCGGCGACGCGACACCACCGTACCAGTGTTCGTGTTGTTGTTGGAGGCCGGGGGTGTGGGCCTGGGGCTTGAGCTCGATCTCGTCGTCTGAGCCGTCGTGGTCGTGGTGGTGGCCGTGCAGGTGGTCGTGCTCCATGGCCTCGGCCTCGTCGTCGATGATGTCCTTGTGGGTGTTTCTAAGGGCGTAGTTGGACAGGCCGCGGCCGATGGAGTCGACGAAGACGATGAGGAAGAGGCAGGCCATGGCGGTGGGCACGACGGCGGAGGAGTACATGAAGCTGGTGAAGAAGTCGTCGTTTGCGGCGGCGTAGCCGCCCAGGAAGGCGGCCATGACGAGGACGAACACGCGCACGCCAATGCCGAAGTAGGTGTAGATGTCTCGCTTCGAACGGCGGCACATGAAGAACATTAGGATTGTTGTAAAGGCCAGGAGTCCGAGGGCGCCCCAGAAGTAGCTGTAAGCCGTCTCCCATGCGCTGATGGAGGAAGTCAAGGCGTCGTCGAAGTCGGGGACTTGTTTGTCTGTCACAGTGCCGGCGTACACTGCGGAAATCGTCTTCTCCCAGAGATACCAGAGTTCATCGGGATAGGCAATCATCTCGCCATTAGCATTGACGTAGCCTTCGGAGTTTTCTGGACTACAGATGTCGGTGTGGTTACCAACAGCATACAAGCTTTCGTATATGTCAGGCAAAAATTGGTTGGACTGAGCCTTGGAGGGAAAGTCGTAGTATCTTATCAGTTCGGCAAGCTTGTTCTGCAATTTTATACCATCGAGATTCTCTTTGACGCAGTATTGCATAGCAGATTTGTTAAATTTCTTGTCGCCGTCAATCACGTAACGTGCGCGAACAATTTGCTGGGCGCCTTCAACGATACCAACGACGGACAAGTGGAATGGGAAATGGAGGAATGCCCATACTTGTTGACGGATGGTTCCAAAGTGGCCACGAGGAGTGTTGTCGAAGTAGATGAAGTAGAGCCAGAAGATGATGAATAGAATGCACAAGACCAGGCCGAAGTATGAGAAAACCGGCCCCTTGGCGAGGATAATCGAAACCGTCTTCGTGATTCCAATGATACCTTCACCCATGATGATCAATGTCAATAGACTCATACGTTCAGCCAAGTGAGTAAGCTTGAAACTCAAGGTGCGCCAAATGGTCGAGACAGAGAGGACGCAGACAATTTCGAGGAATATGGCAGCGTACCACATCAAGTAGATGTGAGGATGATGATTTCCAGTGTTGGGAAAGGCAGCGCTCATTGCGCCGAACACGGTGGCGGTGACAAGGTACCAGAAAGCGTTGAGAGCTAGAGGGAAATACAGCCTTCGATAGCGACGCTTCATGACGAAGTAGAGCACAACCAGGTACTGGATCATGAGCAGCGCGCGACTGGCACACAAGGCCCAACTGAGGATGCGGAAGTTGACGTTGTCTTTGGGAAGATAAGACCTGCTGCCTGGTTCGAATTCGGATCCGACCAAGGCGAAGACTACAAAAACGGCATACTGTACGAACTTGCAGGCACGCTCGAATACAGAGTCGAGACCGAAGCGGACGTCGAAGAGAGTTATGGAGAACCATGTTCCCCAGATGAGACCAAAGAATTCTGTTGGTAAACTAATTAGCATGTTGGCAGTCGATAGAAAACGGACTAGGCATACCGATATAGGTCAAGAAACCTTTGTGATCGGTGATTGAATGGTATTGAGTGAAGAGCGCCAAGTTTGCGACGAAGAACAGGTCAAAGAAGAGTTCCGTAGTATTTGCTTCATGGCGCTGGGCGAATACCAGAGTTGCGCGGCCATTCTTTGTCTCCTGTATGGCGCCGGAGGTGGGATCTTGAATCCACGGTAGGATGAGGTATCTCCGCTTCTTCAACTTGTGTGAGTCCCTAAACGCGTGTTAGTAGCTACACGTATGTGACCAGCCGCAAGGCTGAAGGGTAAAATACCAGTTGAAATGTGGGAGTTTTGTGGGCATCGTGAGAGATATGGCGGTATCTCCTACCGCACGTGGATCACAACGAGCGAGAGTCGAGAGTCGGGTGTGAAGTGAGGGATACGTGAAGGTGATGGTCGAGGAAAGACGACAGTTCTTAACGAAACGGCACGGTCCCCGCACCTCGTACGCGGGAAGCCCAAGAAGGCATGGTGCAGGGTGTGCTAGCTAGATTGCTTGGGGCTGTCTTTTTGGCAGATATGGTGTAGCCTTGGAAGCAAAAGAATGGCCCCCGAGCCAGCGAGGCTGAAGCCTGGAAGATATTGACCATGGACCCTCACAGCCATGGTGCAGCAAGCAATGCTCGTGGGAAGCACCGGGCGTTCAGGCGAGAGCAGCTCTCACTGGCGGACTATGGAAGTTTTGGCTCGACAACGGTGATGGACAGCATCGAGTGAAAGGCTTAGCAGAGCTTGTGCACTGAGACCAGCCAATGTTGTTGGTGGAAGAGATGCAGCTAAGATGATGGTACGATATATTAATGCAGAGAGCTGGACGCCTGAGTTGTGCAGTAACTGCAACATTCCCCCGGCCACGTTGTGCAATCTTGTGCACGCTACTGTTACTAAGCCGTTCTTCATCGACGATGATTGGATGGAGAAGCCCAAATAGACGCGGACCCGGTTCCACGGTTCCAAGATGACTCAGCACTCCCATGCGGGAGCTTCGGCCCCCAGCTCAGCCTTCCCTTGACCCCACAGCGCTAGTCTACTTTAGGCTCATGGACCCCTCCCTCGCTTGCTATTTTTACCTCCCTTCCCCATTCACAACAGCCGAATCACTGTAATCATCTTCACGTGTTGTACTGACTATGTATGACATTTCTTCGAGGTTGCTGAATTCTCTCTTCGTACTTGAGTGTCAGGGTAATATCATGACCTGGTTACTCTTGTTTGCCGTCTATTGTGCCTCTCGGGCTAGCTGGGCTTCGGCCCGTTGGCGGCCCTAAATATGCTTTTAAGATGAGATAGAACGCCTCATGCCGAATCTCGACCCTCGCAGACTCTAGTCCCTCGCAGACTCTCTATCCCCTCGCTTCGCTATTCCATTAACACTTGACAACAACCCGGCCCGCCAACGCCAGCTTTCGAGATCTAGCCTGCTTGCAACAGCCACTACCGACGTTCTGCAGATGTATAATGTATGATAACACGCCACGGCAGCCCGGCAACCATGATGGTTTGATCCACGTTCACAGCCACAGCCACAGCCACATCCCATCTGTACAGTATATTGTGCAGCCACACCGATCCACTTCTTAGTGCATGCTACTGTGTTCATGCATGCATAGTCATCGTATACTAGTAGCCTCGTATCATCACATCCTCCATATAGGTTTCAGCTCGTTGTGTCGTGCTCCCAAGCATTCTGCATGAGCAAGATGTCAAGCATACACTCCCTGTGCTCTTTCTTGGTCGATCATGGCTATAAGCCTACCAAAGACCTGATAGAGAAGTCTTGACTATCTGTTAAAGCTTGTCAACGACACGTCACAATCTCACAGGACACAGACACTCTGCATTGACAAGCATGACGTGCTCTGCTTCACGAGAGACTTACATGCTTTCAAATACACGACAAATCTGATCCAGATCATTGAATCTAATGCATAGACGCTAGCCTATGACAAAATCAAGCCTTTGCGGCCCATGAAGCCGAATAAGAAGAAGCTTGATTTCAGACAGAAAACATTCCGTCCAACTAGCAACCAGAATTCAGCAACAAGCATGCCATTTCTGAACCTTAAACAGAAACCGTCCACCCACCATTCCGACTCCCCCTACCACTTCAAAACATCATCATCATTAACCGGCCCGTCCCACGCCGGCTCATACCCATCGCACACCCCACAAAAATAGAGCTCCATCTCCTCCACGACCTCGCGATCCGGACAGAGATCATCGTCGCAAAGCAAATGATCAAGCACCGGCTGTGACGGCACCGGGGCCTTGTAGCAACGTTCGCCAGTGAGGATCCATCTACCGTGGTTGCAGCTGTAGCGGCAATAGATATACATGCACATTCTGGGCCTGTGTGTCGTCGTTCCGTTCAACCAAAGCTGGATGTTTGCAAAAGTGTCCTTGGAGTAGGGAATTCGATGTGAAAAAGGTAAATATGTCAAGAGAGGATTGCCTGCTGCGTAGCTAGCTACCTCCACGAATGCTACATCCTGCTCTGAGCACGTAGCAAGCATCAAGCATGCGTGAAAGAACACTCATTACCAACGCCGCCTCAAAAACCCTTTACAATATCCCCAGACCGCATTACATGGCCGGCGCACCAATTTTCATTCACAACCACCGCTGGAACCCCTCATTGCCCTCTCTGCCCCTATCCCATCCGCTCCGCTCCCCATAGCAAATCATCTTCTCACACAGCGCACACACGAAATCGCTGCTCTCCTCCTCGACCTGCTTGATCGGACACATGTTCTCCTCATAGGAATCGTCGTCGACGACGGGTGGGGCAGGTAAGGGTGCATGCGTGCAGCGCTCGCCGATTCTGGTCCATCGGCCGTGGCCGCAGGCGTAGCGTTGGACGCTGAAGAGACACATATTTTTCGATGTTGAGGTAGAATGCGGGTTTTGGGGGTGTCGTTGGTGAATTGTTGGATCTTGGTAGCTGTGTCTGACTAGCTGGATCTGGATAACTGGATCAGAGTAGTCGGATGTGATTGTTCGTGGGGAAGGATGAGAATGTGGTAGTTCCGGGCGGTATATATATAGGGGTCTGATTCGCATCGTGGCATGAATTCGGTGAAGAATGTAGCGTATCTATCGGTGGTGTGGTGGCCATATCGTGCATATGTCTGCCATGGGCCAAAATAAGTTAGGAAAAGTGTGGTTTTGATGGATTCTGTGATAGTTAAAGAGAGGGTCAGTGTACAAAGTCACCATTACTGCTAGTGAAATGTCACCGGCTCCATCGTGACGCGTATGGACGCTCTTGTTTTGTCACCAGAACTTTGAGTTCCTTAGCTGTGCATGATCGAGCTGAACGGTCCATGTCGCAGGGAGAAACGTATGAGTAGATGCAATTGCCGACTCGTCGTGTGAAAGCATGATAGGAATGACGGAAACCTTTTTGTCTCACTATCGGGATACGATATGTCGCCATGTCGCTGGCTCGAAGAGAACCAGTGTAAAACAGCATGCTCTACACTCTGGACCCCTTGAACAAGCCAGACAGACAATCCGTTTACGATCCTCCGTTAGCTACCCAAGAAGACACCTCCTACCCCTTACCTGAAAACACAGTCGATAGTCAAGTTCTGAGATATAATTGGATTTTTTGCAGGACTTGAGAGAGCACTAGGCGCCTCTGGAAACTATGATTTAGTCTGACCTACACTGACAAGTCTGCTACATAGCTATGCTACTCCTTCACGATGTGAGCAACCTTAGGTGAGCCTTTCAACAAGTCCATTCCCTTTACAGTGCCAGCATCACCCACCTCAAGAATTCCCACATCCACGCCGCTCTTGTCAACCAGCCTCGCCTTATCACCTTCCTTCGTTGAGTAAAGTCTCAACTCGGCGTCAGTCAACCAGTCATACGCAAACCCTTCCGTATCAGTTTCGGCAGGCTCTTTCCCTAGCACCAACAAGGTGCCGTCTCTCACATACAGTGGCAATGTCAAAAAACCATGGGACTCCTTCCTCCATCCAGGCGTATCCACGATCTCTCCAGACCAGAAGTTAGTCCAGCGTCCCGGAGGAAGGTAGAACTCCACGCTCCCATCTTCATTGAAAACGGGCGCGACAAGTAACTGACTCCCCAACATGAATTGCCTGTCACAGAACCACGCGGTCGGGTCGTCAGGGAACTCTAGCGCCATTGCACGAACACTCAAGGGCCATCCCTTCTCCGCGCTCTCCTGTGCCTGCGCGAAGAGGTATGGCATCAGACGTCTCTTCAGCTGAACCCACGTCCTTAGAACTTCAGTACAATTCTCCTTCTCTTTGGAATCGTTGTCGATCAGCCAAGGTACACGGTAGCTGTTACTGCCATGCAGACGCGAATGCGAGCAGACAAGTCCAAACGCGACCCAACGTTTGTAGATCCAGGGTGGCGGGGAGCCCTCGAAACCGCCGATGTCTGAGGACCAGTATGTGTGAGATGACAGACCAATGGACAGACCGCCACGAAGAGACTCGGCAAGGGCAGGAGGTGTGGACTCGCAGTCACCACCCCAGATCTGTTGGCGTGAGTTATGGGATAACACAACGGAGTAATATGGACTTACGAGTGGGAAGCGTTGCGTTCCCGCACAGGCCGTGCGTGCGAAGAGCACAGCTTGATCTGCGCCGTATCGTGACTGAAGTGCTTCATAAACGCATTTGTTGTATATGAAAGAGTAGTAGTTGTGCATACGGGAAGGATCGACGCTCGTGTCATGCCATGCAACATCGCGTGTGGGAATACGCTCACCAAAGTCTGTCTTGATGCAGTCTACGCCGAGATCGAACAGCTTAGACAAACACCCGACAAACCACTCTTTGGCAGCTGGATTCGTGAAATCGACTATGCCCATACCTGTCTGCCACAAGTCCCACTGAAAGATGTCGCCGTTCGGTCGCTTCAGTAGATACCCCTTTTCGGCAGCGTACGCAAATATGGGGGATGCTTGGCCCAGGTACGGATTCGTCCACACACAGACTTTACGCATCAATCCCGCACTTTTGAGACGTTTGATCGATCCAGCTGGATCTGGGAACGCGGCAATGTCGAATTCGAAGTCACACCAGTGGAACTCTTTCAGCCAGAAGCAGTCGTAGTGAAAGACTTCGACAGGGATCTGGCGAGATTGCATTTCCTCAAGAAAGTGGCTGACGGTTGCCTCGTCATAGTTTGTCGTGAAGCTGGTTGATAGCCAAAGGCCAAAACTCCATGCGGGAACCTTGCCAGCTTTCCCAGTGAGTATGGAGTACTTTGTCAAGACCTCCTTTGGCGTTGGACCGTAGATTATATACCATTTTAAGCGATGGCCTTCAACAGAGGTCTGTAGGCGACATGACCGCTCGCTTCCAATTTCTAGCTCGATCTTATCCGGTGTATCGATAAACACACCATAGCCTCTGTTACTGAGCCAGAAGCTGACATTCTTGTACGCTTGCTCCGAACTGGTGCCGCCGTCCTCATTCCAGACCTCGATACTCTGACCAACTTTGTTCCAAGCGCCGAAGCGCTCACCAAGACCATGAATACTCTCGCCGACTCCCAGCTCTGTCTGTGTGAAGATGTAGTGTTTGATACCAGCTCCCACCAGATCTTCCACTTGCTTCGGTGAAGTGAGCGCTGGAGTGTATGCAAAACCCACGCTTCGACTAAGCAGACTCGTCAAGTCTCGACCAGGATTACCAGACTCGTGGAACTTGATATCGAAGGTGTCCTTGTTGGGACCAACAGTCACAGCAAGGCGTCCACTGGTCAATGTTGTGCCTTTGTCGTCCTTGAGTAGCTCCGATGGACCATCAGGTCTACCATCAGGGTACAGCTCGAAGTCTGGCCCTTTTTTGCGTGCGCCGCGGAAGTGAGCGACTTCGACAGATATCACACCGTCGAATTCGGCGGTAATGTCGACACTCATGGTTGCTAAGTTGAGTGTGTCGCCACGTGACCGAATGTGTCGAGTTGGGCATAACAGTGACAAGGAGCGATTGTTTTGTGAGGGCGTGATGGTATGGATATCTTCGGCATACTGAACGGTCTTGTCTGCGGCGACGAGCCACATTCCTGTGGCAGGTCAGTGTTCATTCAGAATGCATCGTCGTCTTCTAGGACGAAGCAATCGCAGCATACCATCGCGGAACTTCATGGTGAGTTCAACACTTCCTGAATGTTGATTAGTAGGCAGTGGACAGTGAGCAAGCTATGATGTAAGCTGAGAATGACTCTCTTGTTCACGAGCTCACTATGTCCAGAATGTTGAAGTCCTCAGCAGTTGTTTGTGTGAAATAGCCGATTCGAGTTTATCCGGAGTCATCTACTGCCTGTGCGGTCAAACACAAAGACGGATCGATTGTAGTGACAAGGATAGCTCCTGCTGCATGGATGAGTATTACCCGCTAATGCTGCACGACTCGACCTACCCGTGGACAGCGCGGGGTATAATATTGTCTCTACAGTGAATATCTGTCAGGGAATGTCTTGAAGCATGTGATTGATGGATTCATATCTGCTGAGGGCCTCCGGTGGGTCAGATCTTCACTTTCATGGTATAGGTTACAAATCCTCTTCATCCAATCAAGAAGTTAGACTCATGAGCATTCTGATTATTGAGAACATCGATGGATGAACTTTACTTAGCACCCCTACGCTTCGGTATCCTCAACCTGCCGAACCGATTCAGACGCTCCCTTGGCATCATCCAGATTCTCTGGAAGAGTACCCAGCGCACGGTCTCCAAACAAGAGATCAATCTCCTCCAGCGATAATTGCTTTGTCTCCGGAAAGAAGAACCAGATGCTGGGAAACGTAATCAGAACATTGAAAGCGCAGAAGATGAAGTAGAACTTCCAAGTTATGGCTCCAAGCGCGATCGGAGATACTTGTGACCAAAACGTTGAGACAAGCCAGTTCCCAATTCCTGTTGCAAAAGCACTGCCACGACCTCGAATTTGATAAGGCATGATCTCGGACATGTACACCCAACTACAAGGCCCGAAGGACCAGCTGAATATGACCGACACACAGAAGATGAAGAATACTCCGGCTATCGCGAGATTGTGTTCTTGACCCGGTGATGATGCTTTATCAAACTGAGAGTTGATGATAGCTTCGCACATCAGGGCGAGCGTTATACCGATTGTTCCAAAGAGAAGTGGCTTTCTTCTTCCGACGCGGTCGAGTATAAATATAATGAAGATCAAGTTGGCGACGGGACCAACACAATTGTATATGCCCGTAACCAACAAATTTCGATTGCCTTCGATTCCAAGGTTCTTATACATGATTGTTTGGTAGTAACCAATGACCTATGACTTCCGTCAGTGCACTTCTATGGCTAGGCAACAGATTCGACTGACATTGATGCCGGTAAATTGGGTGAAAACTTGAATGAAGGTAGCAAGTGCAAGGCGGCGTCTATACGTCGGTACTTGGAACATGATCAACCAACCAGGTTCTGTCACAGTGTTCTCCGCTTGGATAGTCAGTCTGATCTCGCGGAATTCTTCATCAATCCAGTCATCGTTTGTGCCATCGTAGTGAAGCTTGCGCAGAACCTTTAGCGCTTCATCCTCACGATCGGTTTGCACTAGATAGCGGGGCGACTCGGGAAAGAAAAAGAGACCGATTATCAGGATAATACAGGGGACACACTGAAAGGCTAACGGAAAGCGCCAGGAGAAAGCACTTGTCGCGGGAACGTGTGCAGAGCCAAATCCGACCTATTTGATGTGAGTGGATAGTAAAAAGGTGGACTTATAGGTAGCTTACCCAAGTAGAGATGATGAATCCCACCCCAATCATCTGCTGGGTCAATCCGACAATGAGGCCTCGTACGCGTGGATGCGCACATTCTGATTGATAGATTGGGACAGACATGGACATCAGACCGACCGCCCAGCCTTCTTCATGTGAGCGCAGGATCTATTTACTCTCACAGCAGGCTCACCAGTTAATATGCGGCCAATCAGTATCATGGCCAAGTTCTGTGCGGCACACTGAAGTACGGCGCCCACGAGACAAATCCATGCAGCCACAAAGATGGTCATTCTGCGTCCGAAGCGGTCCATGGTGAAGCCTCCCATCAGAGACCCAAACACGGCACCACCACTGAATGTGGAATTGATAGCACCGATGATAGGAGACGTTGGGACCGTGTTGAAAGTCTGTAGAAAGTGCGGACTCTGGATGACATCCGTCATCACGCCTGAACGAAAGTAAGTCTTTTGTGTTTCTATAAGACTGTCAAGACTGACCAGAGTCATAACCAAAAAGAAACGACCCCGTTGCCGCAAACACGGCAAGCGATATATTGAAAAGTCTCCCCATTCTCGGTCCCTTTCCCTGGTGCTTGAAGTAGAGCTGGATGTAACAGCGATGTATTCAACGTTGCTGACGGCTAGGCCGAGTATATAAACCTCCATGCTCGGCTGAATGCCATCCTCCAAGCCATGTCAAAAGATACTTGGAGACCAGAAAGCCACCCCGGTGGTTCCATGCCTGCGGAGCGTGTCTTTCTGTGTCAGGGCGGTATACATGCATCAAAACTAGAGGCCGACTGCCGGACGAAGTGAATCTGATTGGCCCAGTGAGTAAGGCGCCAAAACATATCTTGCAATATATGGAGAAGATGCCAAATCGAAAATGGTTATGCTGCGGGGTTGTTAGTTGCAAGGTGACAGAATTATCCGCCCATAGGACTACCGTGATCCAAAGTTCGACAAACGTACCGATAGCTACAGAGTGTCAACATCTCTTCACCTGACCTCGATTCTCCACACGATTCCATGCGACATATACTGAACGACACGCCTGCATCTATCCCGGTCAATTTTGCCAAATCATGAATTATTATGCCTCCTGGGTATTGTTCGACCCAAAATCCGGCTCGCTTCTGACCCTGCTGATGTTCGCCGCAACTCCTCCACACTATCAGGATACACCCTAGACAGAGATCTTTCAGAAAACTTCCGTGACACCAATGCAAACCCATCATCAATCAAATATGTGTCATGGGCGGTGACTTTAGCGAGGATCTTGCATCAAGGGCAAGCTTGACCCACGGATGATGCTGCGTAGCGGCTTGTGCAAGACCAAGTCGGTTGCAGTGGCCTACTCAAGTCCATATCCTCAGAGAATAAGTATACAGTCATTCACTCCTGGTCACGCATCTTGCTATTGCTAGGTCCTTCATCAAGATGTGGTACACAGCTATTCCGCTTGCCCTATGGGTAGCGTGTACGTCAACTGTAGCAGCGCAGCAACCCGGAAATGGCAACACCATCAACAACACCAGCGGTGTGCTTTACAAGGACCCGACTGCATCAGTCGATGCCCGAATCGCTGATCTGCTCTCTCGGATGACAATTGAAGACAAGATGGCTCAATTGATGCAAGGAGACATCGGCAACTGGATGAATTCCTCAACAAATGCGTTCAACTACTCCGGTCTTGTAGCAAACATGGAGTACAAGCAGGGAAGCTTCTATGTCGGCTATGCGGTGCCGCAGCAATGGATCGCAGAAAACACCAAGAAAGCGCAAGACTACTTGATCGCGAACACAACCTTGGGCATACCGGCGCTTGTACAGTCTGAAGGCATACACGGCTTCCTCATCGGCAATGCGACCGTCTTCAACAGTCCGATTGCTTTTGCTTGCTCTTTCAATCCTGAGCTTATCCAAGAAATGGCCGCGGTCATTGCTCAGGAATCTCTTGCCCTTGGGGTCAATCAATTATTTGCTCCCGTGGTCGACCTAGCCCGCGAGCTCCGCTTCGGGCGTGTCGAAGAAACCTACGGCGAGGATCCCTATCTAGCCGGAGAGATGGGATACAACTTTGTCAAGGGGCTACAGTCGAACAATGTCAGCGCCATGGTGAAGCATTTTGCTGGATTCAGTGCTCCAGAGCAGGGTCTCAACACAGGGCCTGTTCATGGCGGCGAGCGTGAACTTCGAACGACTTGGTTGCCGTCTTTCCACAGGACTATCATTGATGGCGGGGCGTATAGTATCATGTCTGCGTACCATTCATACGACGGTGTTCCAGCTGTGGCAGATTATCATACATTGACGGAAATCTTGCGCGACGAGTGGGGCTACAAATACTTTGTCATGTCTGATGCCGGTGGAACAGACAGATTATGCAACTCGTTCAAGATGTGCGCAACGAATCCGATCGACTCTGATGCTGTCACAACGTACGCTTTACCAGCTGGCAATGACGTTGAGATGGGGGGTGGGAGCTTCAATTTCCGCTCTATACCTTCTTTGGTCGAATCTGGGAAGCTGGACATCGGGACTGTTGACCTTGCTGTCTCTCGTCTGCTCAGGGTAAAGTTCGAGATGGGCCTTTTCGAGAATCCCTATCTTGGTGTACCAAGCAGCCAGACTGCATCATTGATACACACTCCCGAAGCCGTTGAACTTGCTCGCAAACTTGACGCGGAATCCATCGTTCTCCTCGAAAACAAAGATAGCATCCTCCCGCTATCTAAAGATGCAAACGTCGCAGTCATCGGGCCTATGTCTAATTTCATGAATTACGGCGACTACGTCGTTTTCAGATCACAGTACAATCCTGACGCAGTCACACCTCTACAAGGCATCCGAAACGCATCCACTGGTACTGTGACTTTTGCTCAAGGCTGCGAAAGATGGTCAGCAGATCAATCCGGATTTTCGGAGGCCGTCGCAACTGCATCGGCAGCCGACGTCGCCGTCGTCTTTGTCGGCACATGGTCCCGGGATCAAGGAGAACTCTGGGCAGGGCTCAACGCCACCACCGGCGAACATGTTGACGTAGCTGACCTGTCTCTGGTCGGAGCGATGGGCCCTCTCGTACAAGCAGTCATCGAGACTGGCAAGCCCACGATTGTCGTCTACGTGTCTGGGAAACCGATAACCGAGCCATGGATCAGCGACAACGCAGCCGCAGTGGTGCAACAGTTCTACCCTTCTGAACAGGGAGGAAACGCTATCGCTGACATACTCTACGGTGAAGTGAATCCTTCGGGGAAGCTGAGCGTCGGCATACCATACGACGTCGGCACGTTGCCTGTTTTTTATGATTATCTGAACTCCGCGCGACAATATCCAGAGCCGGGGTATGTTACCGACAACGGAACCCTTGTGTTTGGACACGCTTATGTCCTGGGTGATCCTCGCCCGCACTACGAGTTCGGCTATGGCTTGTCATACACTAACTTTACTTACTCAAACGTCTCGCTTTCATCGAAGACAGCTAGCGCGTCTGACACTATAACGGCGTCAGTCCGGGTGACAAACTCCGGCTCGAGGGCCGGAGCGGAAGTCGTGCAGCTCTACGTCCAGGATGTGATTGCGTCGGTTGTGGTTCCGAACAAGCAGCTGAAGGGGTTTCAGAAAATGTTTATCGAGGCCGGAGAAACGACGACTGTGGAGATTCCGGTTGATGTGAGCAAGTTGGGTGTTTGGGACATCCGTATGAAGTACACCGTCGAACCTGGTGATTTCGTGGTCTGGATTGGCAGTTCGAGCGAGGATCTCCGGGGAAATGCCACGTTGACTGTGTCGTGAGGGATAGATAGACATAGTAGCAGGATGTTTGTGAATGTCACTCTGTATGAGACCGGTGTGATATGTAGACAGCATTTCGACTTCAGGATTCTGACCTAATTCGATATCGCACTATTGGGTTGTGACGCGTGTAGCTTTCCAATAGGATGGACCTACTATACTCACTCCTCATGTACCACAACACTGGGCTGGTGGGATATGTCACCAATCGCATTCAGCTATCGAATCCTAAATTCCCACCTCGCGCGTTAAAGGTACATACTGTATGTGATGAACTGTTTAAATTTGATGGTGACCTGACGCGTCGAAGATGAGCCCCATCTCTCCTACCTACTTCAGGTCTAGCGCAAGACTAATGTAAGCTTTTTTCCCTTAGCTATTGTTGCTACCTCGACAACGGACCGAAGTCCGACAGCTTCTTTACACAATTACTTTCCCTGCGGTGTAGAACAGCGACATAACACTTTATTAGTCTTGATATTAGCATTCCGCTCCCCGCCAGTCAGACAGAGTGAGTGTCCGTGAATGAGTGGTCATATCGTACGATATCAGTGTACATGCTCAGTCGCTGATTAATTAATTCTTTGCTTGGTCATATTGGTTTACTTGTTGTAACCTTTGAACTTTTTGCTAGAGGGTTAGGTATAACTACCCCGGACCAACGCTACTTACTACTGATTGAGGCATAAGGAAGGGGGGGGAGGGGGGTGAGCTTCCAAGACGCGTCCGTCGGAAATGCACGATTGGCTTCAAGTCATGCAATTCGTGGCTGAGTGACCGAGTGACCGATGAGCATCATACACACTCGACGTTTGATGGTAAACTAGTAAGCTCGAGCTCATGGAGTTGACTCTCCTAGAGTATGGCTCGCTAAGGGGTGTAGTAGTAAGACCCGTGATTTTAAGTTTTTGGTGCTAATAATAGATGGTCGTGGGCGAGAGGAGGCTTCGCTAGCAGTCTAGAATCCGTTTTTCAAGGTTTGACATAATCGAGAAATCGAGCGAACGTCGAGATTGGATCTAGAATGTACGCTTTAATATAGATAGTTCTTGATTCTGTGGTCGCCTTCTGTTGTTGCCTTCTGTAGATCTAAGTTATTATAAAGAGCTTTACCGATGAACACTCAATTATCATGACACGAAGTTTCCTCTCTGCGACAGAACAGTCACATTGATACAGAACTCCATCCTATTCTTTCCACCGTTATCACCCTCTGTCTCTGGAGCCAATATAACATTTAACCATCAAACCAGAAGTCGGGTAAAGAAATGAATAAAAATGTTCTCGTTCAAGTCGAACACGCACGGCCACACCCATCTATCGCTTAGTCCCCAACCCATTTAAAATCCCTCCCGCACAACCACACATATCTCCATAAAATAAGAATATAAACACTTCCACGACAACCAAAACATACATGAGAATCAACGTGCCAGCAAAAATGGACTTGCTGGGAATTGAACCCAGGACCTCATCCATGCTAAGGATGCGCGATACCACTACACTACAAGCCCGATATTGGCACAAGTCTCACATTCGGTATATATCCGTGGGGATTCGGGGACAATATTTCTTGTCCGCTTGATTGATGCGTTGGAAGTGCCTTGGGCTCGCATTATACACGAGGTTTGTAATCGTCTTCATCGACGACAAGCCGGAGTGACACGGAGTCTGGCCAGGCGAGGCGTCGGTATTGGATGGCATATCTCATCAAGCCGTCTATCAATCCGAATAGAAGCGTCGGCATGTTGAGTGAGCATACTGCCACGCTATCAACTCGACAATGTTGTCAGTTTATAGCCATACCATACTAATATAGTCATGTCTGCACTACATTAATCGCAGTCCCCAAGAGAGAAAAGACTAATATGATAGATAACAAACTGGACTGCATAAAGTGTCATCGAGAGAGGATCTTCTCTTCAGTCTTTCGCAATATTCTGTAACGCTCCTGGCATTCGTCATTTGTTGGTTTTGCTGTGCTAGGAATCTGGATTGGTGAGATGATTGAGCGGCGAGAAGATCAAACCGGCCTGTGAAGTTCAGGCGTAAGGCTTTAACAGCGTTGTTTAATAGTGCATGGTAATGTATATAGTATTCAACGCCTTCGGGTTTTTGGATTGCGGTCCTACTGTTTCGATCTTCATGATCAGAATACCTAGGTTCATGTCTGGTCGTGAAACGATATGAACTAGGGCAAGGAGTACTTGTGCAGTCGGGCATCGAGAAATGCAGATGTTGGGGGTAGGACGTGTGCTGGTGGGGTGGTGGTGCATATTCTAATCTCAAGCCAAGCACTGCAACCTTGACTCGCAATTTGATTTACGATCTACGCAATGCACCATGCACGCAATGAAGAATTGTAGTCGAGGACAAAATAGACATGGTAAAAAAACTTCAACTTGAAATGTCAAACTTGCTAAATATCGATTTCATCGTCATGATTCATTCATTCATGCTTGTAAGTGAGAGAGTTGAGGACAAATGAAGAGTGTAGATCGCCGTGGATGCATCTCCTTTTTAGCTACAGGTGGAAGTGTGTGAGCTACGAGGCGTTATTAGATGAGGAACGAATTGTTGTTCATGACTCATATTTATACATGTGTGTAGGTATATGAGCAGACGTACAATCTACTGTACGCAGGTCGGTAGATGTCGGACCCCCCCAAGGGACTATACGATGACAGGAAAACAAACGCGCCGCCCACGTGCTTATTCGCATCTCGGCATTACCAACGCCGTATAAGGAATGTCAGAGACCGAGAGAGGGAGAGGAAGAGAGAAAGAGAGGGAGAGAGAGAGAGAGAGAGAGAGAGAGATCAAAGAAAGGAGTGAGTGAATGACAATGGGTATCCTCTGCCTAAAACGCCATGCCCAGAACCCGGAACCCGACGCACGTCTCACAGCGCACGACCCGGCCCCGCCCAACCACCACTATCCACCCAGCTCTCGCGCATCTCCACTGTGGTCTCGACGCCAATGCCACCCTTCGACATGCTCGAGCTGCCCTCCCAACTGCCGCGATCCTCCCAATCCAAGCCCTTGGGCCCCCGCACATCGACGACGCCGCACTCAATCTGCAGCTCGAGATCATCGAGCCGACTCTCCTTTTTGGGGCCGCGCCAGGCGGGGCCCTCGAAAACGGCGTCCATCTCCTCGAGGCTGAACTGCTTCGTCTCGGGGATGGTGAAAAAGACTTGCACGAAGGCGATGGCGTTGAAGGTGCCGAAGAGGATGTACATGCGCCAGCCGATGCGGTACAGCAGCGGCGGCACGGCAAACGCAAGCACGGTGTTGAACACCCAGTTTGTTGCTGTCGTCAGACTGGTGCCCTTGGCGCGCACACGGTTGGGGAAGATTTCGGCCGGGTATGTCCAGGAGACGGGGCCCCAGGAGACGGCAAAGGTGGCGACGAAGAGGTAGGAGCAGGCGACGACGCCGCGCGATGCGGGCGCGTTGTCGACAATGTGCCATGAGAGGTCGGAGTCTGGGACTGTGGTGGGCGTGCCGTAGATGGCTTGTAGGGCGCCGGAGGTGAAGAGGAGGGCCATCATGGAGAGGGCGCCGAGGAGGAGCGTGGGACGGCGGCCCCAAGTGTCGATGTAGAGGATTGCGGGAAGGGTGAGGACGACGTTGATGATGTATTGGATGGAGGCTGTGAGGAGGGGGGTGCCAATGTTTGCGGTTTCCATGATGTAGACAATGTAGTACATCTGGTTGGGAGGTTTGGTTAGTGAATTGACCATGAAGAGAGGGAACTGGGGAAAGTTACCATGACGTTCATGCCGCAGAGCTGAGCCCAGGTCTGGACGGACATGCCACTGAGGACGCGCTTCGCAATCTTCTTGTCCAGAAGGCCGCTCCAGCCCGCGGCGGCCACCTCTTTCTCGAATCGCAGGGCTTCTTCAATCTCGCGGTACTGCGCCAGGACTTTTGGGTGTTTGACATTACCGTGGGCATGCAGGTCAGCCAGCACCATAATGGCCTCCTCCCACCTATCCTGGCCCGCGAGCCAACGAGGAGAATAGGGAAACCAAAACAGGCCGATGGCGAGAATGAAAGCGGGAATGGTTTGGAGGGCCCACGGAATGCGGAAAGCAGCGGTGCTTTGAGTAGGAGAGTCCGGTCCATTGCCTACGTGAGAGGCACCGTACTGCACAAAGTATTGAATCAAGATGCCCCAAGTAATAGCCCATTGCTGCAAAGTCACGACGCGGCCTCGGATTTCCTTTGGGGCAATTTCGGCCTGGTAGACAGGCACGACCGCAGAGGCGATACCAACACCTAAGCCCGCAACGAAACGTCCGACGCAGAGCATAGGGACGCCATTGCTTCCGGATTGGAGTCTGCGGAGAATAATCAGCGTCGGACATTTTGATAGACTATGCAAGACATACGCAGATCCGATGATCCACAGAATGCAGGCCAACTGGATGGCAATTTTGCGCGAGAAGCGATCCGACATGCAAGACGAACCGAGAGTTGAGAAGATGGAGCCCAAGGGCATGGAGGCCGTGATGTAGCCCTGGGTGAAGCTTCGTGGATGATTGAAGTAGTTTTTGTACGCCGAGGTTCCAAGCACACCTGACATGCTTGCGATGTCCATGCCGAACAAGCAGCCGCCTAGAACGAAGTCAGCGCACAATGGGGGGCATACGGGAGCAAACAAGATAGCGTACCAAGGGCGGCGAAGGCGCAGACAGCGTATACATTCGTGACGGTCTTCATGACGGGAACGAAGTAGAGGAGGAACTCGCCATTAGGCGTTCATGAAGGAGAGAAGTACATCAGACGACTGTAGAGGATGTAGCAGAGAGACAGAGTCGAGGGACGAGTATGAGATGTGGGACAGGCGTGGAGTGTATGTATGTATGAATCAAGAGAGAGAGAGTGTGTGTGAGTGAGAGAGTCAAAGCACGAGGGCTGGACGAGGCGAATGAGAATAGAGTTTTAGGGATTAGGGAGCTTGGGCTCGGGGACGGAGAGAGGGAGGGGCGGAGAGAAGAGACGTCGGGCGGGCAGTTTGATGTTTAATATTTGCCCATTTGTCCCCGGATTCTCGAATTGAATTTTGGGGAGGAGGATGTGTAGGATGCTTGGGAAGGGCCTGAAAGGGGGGGGGGATGGGGAGGAGAACTCGGGATAGACGGGGCAGCCAGACAGGCGGGTGTCGGGAGCGAGGGGCGTCTGATAGCTGGAGCACCACTAGTCACTAGGGATAGTAATAGATGTTACTTTGATCTTGGCCTTGCTTGGCTTCTCATACCGAATTGTGGATATTACTGGCGAGTGCTGGTGTGAAATGCGGCTTACGAGGCCCTGTCAACACAGCCATGCCCTTGTTGATGCCCATGTCCATGTCGATGAACATGGCTATGGCTACACCCTCACCGTACAGCATACGCACGCAGTCGATACGAAGTGGGGGATCAGTGTGCTCTGTCTTTGCCAGCCGAAGGCTGACTGGGACATACAGTTTGTTGTCTGCTGCAGAGATCGCACAAGTGATACATTCCTTCCTTTATCTCTCCAGTTAGATGCGACGCCGGACGAGCACGCATTGGCGGTGGCGATGTCTGTGCCGCACCAGATGACACTGGCCGTCCTGAATAATAACGGATGAATCATTGTTGCTAGAAGTGCTGGACGTTCTGGTCTTCCAGAGTCATGGCCGCCAAAACGTCTCACCAGTGAGCCCGGCGAGGCCCACACGCCCACACGCCCAAACCTTGTCGGCGATGTAGGACTGCGTGGTGTTTCCTGAGGCAGCATATTCACGCACGCACATGTACACGCACGCGCTGACGCTCGCAGCCGTTCCTTGTACAAGTCGAAGTATACGAACAAGTAAGCTGACGAAAGCGCGGAAGGAAATTTGAACATGGGCTGAGGCATGGGCAACTGCTGCTACCGGTCTGCTGTGCGTGATCGATATCGATATCGGTATCGCGAGCCAGGATCCCCAGCACCGACGAGCAGCAGCTACTGCTCACTAATGTTGGTTGCCACTTGCATGCGGCCTCTTGGGACGACACAGAGACAGACAGCCATTGTCACGATGTCATTGTCGATACGGCGCAGTAGTATCGACTTGGACGCAACCAGGTGCATTAACCACGGCTTCTCAGGTGCGTCTTTTTCGACGCACACGGACTTGCTCGTGGCGACAATAACAGCGGGCAAGAATGAGGATGATGTGGAGGAGGAGGAAGAGGGATTGAATGAATCGTGTAGGGCGCGCGTGTTTCGACAGAGTCAGACGCGCGCGAGGGAGCCGTGAGGCCAGGGGGAGGGTGATGTTGACAGGCCCATCCATCACGACGACGAAGAGGCGGGGTAGATGCACTCCTTTGTAGATAGAGGGTGAATGGGATAGTGAAGTGCGAGGTAAGGACTGCTGCTTGGAAGATAATGATATACTCCATAGTTATGGCCACAGTGGTTGTTCTAATAATGTATGTAAGGGACCGAGAGGGAACGCTTAGAGGGTCTGTTGGGCTGCCCAGTGTTAGTCGCGCCCCCAAATAAGACGGTAATAGTGTAATGCATGATGCTACATGTACATACGTACATAGTATGCGTTGGTTTCCGAGTTGACGAATGCTACCTCTACTCGCTTGCTGCGCCCCGTGCCGTGCTGTGTATTTATTTGCTCACGGCCGCGATTTCGGCGCGTTCTCCCTCCCTCTCCACGTCTATCACGTCCATCGACATCGACACCACTGGCCAGATAGCGTCCTCTCTCTCCCTCGATTATCGCTCAATGACGAATGTCTTGATTTTCTATATACATGGATATATTTAGAACTATATTTATATATATACACACATATCTACACGCACGAGCATCGATTGCTCCAGCCCTCATCGTCCAATTGCCCGTTCCGCTGTACATCATTACCCTGGCCTCTTTCCCGCATCTCGTTCATCGTTCATCAGCTCGTCAAATATGCAACCCCCAAATGTGTATGTTGTGTTGCCAGATCCATCCAACATCTCACACCCCAGGAGCAACAGCAACAACAACACAACACTGGCGAGATACTTCGTGCCAAGCTCATTTTCAGCCAGGAGTCCCAGTCTAGTCGAATCCCAATCTACATCTGTGTCGTATGCACATACAATAGTAGTAGTACAGTATTTGGCCTAGACGCGGCTGATGTCGACTACTGTGAACTAACCTCGCCCCCGTCGCTTGTTCCCGGCCTTTTTCGTTCATACTTCTCCCCAACGAACCACTAACAAACCATCGCACATGCTTCATTCCCCTCCTCGATTATCGCTCACAGCAAGCCTTCAGCCTAAGTAGTCATCGTCGTCCGTCTGACACTCCCGCCCGAAACGTCTTGTAGCCTGCCCTTCCTATGCAGCTCTCCCGCCGCTTGCACTCTGCACTCTTCAGCCCAGCCTAGCCACGTGCGGACATGAGATGAGCGGACCACTCCTGTACATCCTGCATCAAACGTTATCTTCACTCATCAGACCATGGCCGTCGTTCTGTAATAACCTGTCCTTCCAACTCGTTACCTTTTTCCGCCTTGTCTTTCTTTATCTGTTGCCCCATCCCCTCATCTCAAAATCGAACCCTGCATGCACGGTATCAGCATCTATACCCAGAACTTCTTCATTCGGCCCGCATTCTTGTGCTGCGCCGCACCGTCGGGCTTACATCGCCTCTTGAATTCAACATCCCATTTCACTGCCGTGATCTCGACTCTGCCACAATCCACTACTCATGCCATGCTCAAGCCTGATTGCACTGCTACTGCCTATCCGTAATGCTGGACTTTGACCCGCCTGAGCCCATCACTGACGACCAGGTATCCGGTGAGGGTATGCGAGCTGCACTATTACCCCACAAATCACCAGAAAATAGCTAATTCACCATCCTAGAGAAGCTATACAGAGTGACAAAGTTGATCAAAGAGCTCCGTGATGACTTTGTCCACGTCAATCTTCTCCCATTCGGTAATTGTCATCCTCTGCTTTTGATAGTTCCATCGTTAACCGCAAAGCAGAACGCAATGCCCATATGGAACAGCTGAAAGTGTTTGGTCGGAATCCCAAGAATGCGGAGCCAATATTCACCCCTTCCGTATGTCCAAGGGTTGTTTACCGTGCTATCTACTAACAGATTCAGGGGATTGAGATTATAACACACCATGCTTTCCACAGCACTTCTCCCACAACCTCGAAAGCTGCCCTGCAATGTCTGGCAAACGCTCTCCTCGCCGAACCCATCACGCGGCAGTATTTTGTCGACCTAGGCTACAGCGAGAGAGCGGTGCGCCGACTGAAGAAGCCTCAAAAAGACGATGAGTTCCTCATGTCGAGGATCCTATTCCTCACATCCTACGGCACCACCCAACGCTTCGACATACTAATTGACAAATTCCATCTTGCTGACCACATGAGCAATGTAAGTTACCTTGAATGCCACGTCACCACAAATCTGATCCGAACACCAGAACCTCGAACGCCACGCCAAGAATAAGTTCATCTCCCGCCACGACGACGAAGCCCTCAACGAGACGCTCAAGCTCGTCTTCAACATCGCCCACTTCTGTCCCTCGCACGCATCCGCCTTCACCCCAGCTCTCCCATCCATCATCAAGATCCTCACTCGCCGACCCCTCCAATCGCCCCCTCTCTCCGCGCCCACAAACCTCCTCATCACCTGCCTCCTAACCATTCCCCTCCCCAAAAAACCCCTATCCACATCCACCCTGACGCCCTGCGCGAAACACCTTCTCACCATCCTCGACGCCTCCCTCGCCGTCTCCCCAGACCACGACCTCGACGCCACCGTCACCCCCCTCGTCACCCTCCTCCAACGCCTCGCCACACACTCCCCAACGTTCGCCGCATCCCTCAAACCCACCCTCCTCCCACCGAACCCCAAATCCCAAGCTTCCGCAAATATCAACCTCCACGCCCGTCTCTCCGCCCTCCTCGACACCCCGTCCCGGTCCCGCCCCCTCGCCGACGCCATCGTCCTCCTCTTCCACTTCCTCGCTCCCGCTACCACCACTACCACCACCACCACCGCCATCGTTCCGCCCCGCCACTCCTCTTCCTCCTCGACCTCCTCCGCTCATTCCCAAACACATCCCCCCAGCTCCCCATCCGACCGCCCCGCTCGCACAAGCACCACCTCCATCTCCACCGCAACACACACCCACGGCTCCGCCTCCGTCTCCTCGACGAACTCCGCCCGCGCCATCCTGCCAGCCCCCGCAGAACGCGCAGCAGCAGTGCCAAAGCCCAAGCCAGACCCCGCGCGCGTCATGGTGCTGTTTGACAGGTGTGTAGCTTATAATTCCCTATAACGCGTTCCCTGCGCCTTGGGTGTTGTAACATTTTGCTGACTGTGGGTTGTTGTGGTTGTAGGTTGCGCGTGACGCATATCTCCGACGCGGCAGATCCGCGGGTGCGGGATATGGTTGTGGAGCTTGAATGAATGAATGGATGGATGGAATGTGATGGAATGTGATGAAATGAGATGAAATGAATGATGATAGTCTATACGAGGATGTGGAGCTCTCTGTAACGATACATATCACAAACTACACGACCGCAAAATCGCCAGATACACAAAAAAAGCCAAAAAAAGAAAAGAAAGAACACGTCCTGGATTCTCTTGGAGATTGGAAGGCGAAGAGGACTAGGGCTTACGGCGTTGGAAAAAAAAGGGGAGTATATTAGATTCAACGTCTGGTTCCATATGTTTCACAGCGGAGTTGAGGTATGTTTATGGTCATGGGTTATGCTTACAGGTTATGTAGGATTGATGGATGGATGGATGTACGAACTGGGAATCGCAAATAGAGACTTCGTTTCGGGAAATCATACAAATCATACAAATCATACAAATCATACAAATCATACAAATCATACAAATCATACAAATCATACAAATCATACAAATCATACAAATC